ACTGAAACCTCATGATAACAAAGCTGCATCTTACACAAAAATAAATGCGTTATATCCAAAAATTTGTTATAAAGGTTTATTCTTAACACTATACCTACTGCAAGAGTATTCTTCATTGACTTCATTATAACCAATATTTCGTTATATCTGGATTCGTTATATTGAGGTTTGAGTATGGTCGTAATTATGCGTCCGCGCCGGTGTATCAGCGGCTAGCGCGCTCAGTTGCTGACCCAAAGGTTTCGGATTTATTCCCGGCCGCGGCGGTCACAATTCAATGAAGGCGAAATGCTAAAGGCCCATGTACTGTGCGTCGACAGCACATGTTAAAGAATGCCAGATTATCAAAATTTTCAGAGCCCTCCACTAAGGCATCCCTCATAATCATCTCGTGATTTTGGGACGTTTTGGGACCCCTCATAGTATTATTTTCATAGCTAGTTGTAGTTACACAAATGAAATAAGTCATATTCATGTAAATATGACATTCCATATTTTTAAAATGGCCATAGAGAGCCATTATTCACCCAGTGAACTGTGGACTGCTGCTTTTTGGCCCACCCCCTGGGACCCTTGAGGTACAAATAAACAAATGTGACATATGTCATATTCATATGTCACCGATATGACATATCCATATGAAGGATATAGACAACATATCACTCTGTAGGAGCATGTGCACTTTACGATGTTTGATGTGGTGCTTTTTACTCGAAACAAAGCTGACAGCATACGCTGATCACATATTTTAATAGCTGTGTACCATGCTAGAAAATATTTAAAGCAGCTATCTTCACGGGCAGTTTATAAGAAAAAAGGTGTCCCACGTTTCCAATGACTAGCCTATTATGATCCCCTTGAAGTTACTTTGAACACTTTCCAGCGGGCAGGCAGGAAATTGTTGCTTCGCAACACCTGTGGCAGATCGCACCAGCACAAGGTCAAATATATGTCTAGTAGTCTAAAACTGGGCACTCTAAAACTGTTTCTTGAGGCTACTGTCTTGAAAGTCTGATTTTAATCTGAAGAATTCGAGTACTTGAACACTGCGCAAAGATGCTATTCCACTAAAGAATAGGTGAAAGAAGTACGTACTGGTCGGCTCACCTATGTAAGTTTTACAAGCAGTTATGGTCACTGTAGGCAATAGCCAGAATGATAACAGCTAAGTACAGGAGTGATCTTAAAAGATCCTCTTCAGATAACTGTTGATTAAAAGTTATTAAAGATGTTCAAGAATTTTGTTGCAAGAGGGCAGTGTACGATCTGGAAGAACAGCAGCAGCGACTGACGCTGCGCTATTGCTGACGTTGCTGCTCAAATCGACTAGCAGCAGCTGCATGGAGCCATGAGCAATGAAGAAAAAGAACAACTGTGCAAGTGGAGTTCAAATTTCACCGTGTCTGCTAATACATAACATTGTAACATGATCGCAACAGGAAAGGCGGCGTGAAAGCAATAATGTATACTTCCCCATCTAGCAATGGGTGCTAGTTTTTGATCGGAAGGACAGGCAGGAATCGCTCTGCCAATAGGATGACTGCTCTGCTCAAACTTAAAACTTTGTGGACAGATGGCGCTTGGCATTGCTCCTGCTGCTTGGCAAGTAAGCAGCAGGAGCAATGAAAAAAAAAAAAAAAAACAGAATGCCATCTTTCCTAAAACGAACGAAGCTTGCGTAAATGAAATGGCAGGCATAGGGTTTTTATTCTTTTTGTTGTTGTTGAAGCCATTTGGTTATCTTGAAAGGTGATGCTACCTTCACCAATAAGCCACTAGCTTCGTTACTGTAAAATGTCAGCAGTACTGTCGATCATGTTTGAACTATCAGTGGCATCATGTGACACATCATGTGATGGGCTAATACTGGGGGCTTCGTTGATGGGCTAATACTAGGCCATCAACGAAGCCCACGATAACCTCAGCACAACCTTTGTAGTTTAGCTACAATAAAACTACAACACAAAAAAAGGTGGGGGGGGGGGGGGGGGGCATTTATGCAGTAGTACAGTATGCCATAATAATTAAATAGGTTCTAACTGGCCCAGTCTGCAATTTGTGTCTGAGCCAAGCCATAATAGGGGCCTTTCAATTACCCTCATTCGCACGGGGTTATGCGCACTGGAGATCTTATTGCACGGGCGTAACTTAGAATGTTGTTGTGTCATCACCGCAAATAATACTTACTTACAATTTTATGCACCGCTGTTTAGAATTTAACAGCAATCTGGTGCACATAGGCATAACAAGAAAGGCAGTGCAAAGTACCGAAATCTCAAATAAGCGGACTACTGCGCCAAGTGAGTGACAAACGAAACGGCAGTCTTAAGTTGAAGAGCTACCCATGCTTGCCTTCCCGAGCAACACAACCACATGTGAGTTAAGGCTTCGAACAGGTGAACGGAATAACATCAACAGTGGTGTGATACACAAGGCAGCCGCGCGATGCTTTGATCCTAGCTTTGTCAATATCCTTTATGATCAGAAGGGCCCAGGCAGTGAACCTGCCTTTTCAAAATACTGACAAAAGCGGGCTTAGGTGAGGCAAAAAGAAAACGCAGGAGAGATGGCGATACTAATCAAGTCGAACCTTGATATAACGAATACTGATGGGTCATTCTGCATCAAATGTCTCAGCTACTTTGGCAACCGTCTAAAATGTATTCTAAGGTCATAGTGCCGATTTGCTGCATTTAAAACAGCGTATATTTAGAATATTTTGAAAAAAAAAAAATGCTTAAGCAGTTTAGCACTGAGGGTGCAGTCTGAGGGAAGTGAAGAGCTGGGTGGCCTTCTTTGCTTGCTTCTATTTATTTGTTTATTTTCTTCTTTTGTTACTGTTTCTTTCTCTTATCTCGGTTTCTTCTGTCTTATTTTTTTTACCTTAGAATCCCACCTTGCGGAGAAATTTTTTTTCAGCGAGAATTCCTTTCTCTTTGTTTCTTTCTCTCTTTATGTACTCGTTCGCATACCCATAAGGGTTACACCACTCCACACCGGAGAAATCGGCACATGTGTCTTGCGAGCGACACCGAAGACCGAGAGGAAGAAGAGAACAAAGACAGCGCACGCCAAATTCCTTCTATGACAGTTTCTGTTCACACTAGCCGGCACAAAGAGAAGCTTACAGAGCTCCAGTTTTTAAATTTCTTGCTCACGCAGCCGCCTTCCATATTTCGAAAAATGTGCTAGAGTGATGTTTGTCAGTGAGTTTGCTCTGAGAGCTCGTTTCTCGTTTCAATACCAAATTGGGTTTACATATTAAGCAAAAGCATTTGTACAGGTGTTCAATTCTAGGCAATACCAATGCAATTTTTTTTCCCCTGTATGCCTTCAAAACTTTGCCAAAACATTACATTTGCATGTTTTCCTTCTCTAATACTGTGATATGTATGAATATCTGAGTAAGCAACACTTACTCTATGGAAGGCATATTTCGTGTAAAAAAATGTTTCACGGCCAGTGATGATCACAAACCTTATAAAAATTAAAAAATTTGTAATATTTTCATTCTGGTCCACAGTGTGACGCAATTTACACCATGTGGTGCTCGCACTGAAAATCGGCTTTATACCCCAATCGAAAGCAAATAACTCTGCTATTGCAAGCTTTATCACCACATTTCTTGTTTTAAACAAGAAAATGTTTCAATTTCCCCTATAACAGCTATCTTCCAAGTTGTCCGTACAGCTAACTAAAGTTCCTCATTGCCTTGAAAAATGTAGGCTATACTTTCTATACTGCCATAGCCCAGTCCTGTTTGTAAAGTGCCTGCGGAAGAGGCAGATTTTATGCAATAGTGACGCAAATGTAGGGAAGGGGGTACCTAGCGCTCCCTATGCCTTTCGTAGCAATGTCACTAGTTGCAGTACATGCTGTTGGACAACCCCAATCATTCACCGAACCCTGTACGCACCCTTTTATGCACTTTACCACACATGGCAAGACCTCGCCGCCTGCTTTGAATCGAGTTCGTCCGCCTTCTAACAATGGTAAGCTGGACAAAATGGTAAGCAACTCACTGAAACAGGCGCCACACAAATGCAAACGAAATGCAGGAACCGGGCTACACACCATCTTCTTATAGCACACACCCTGACAATAGAGAGTTACAGCTTGTTTGGTATATGCAATGAAGTTTGCGTATTGCCTTATGCTGTTGACCGGCATCTTGCGATGCTTTATCCAGCCATAATTATACATACATTTTTTTTGTGTGTGTCCGACGAGTGGGCTCGTCAATAAGTTTAAAAAAATATTTTAAAAGTGTGGCATGTAATGGACATTTTTTTAAGGGTGCCCATCTTTATGCCCTTACAGTGATTAACAGTCTACATTTTTTGTACTTTTAAAAGTCTTCAAGCAAATGAAACAGATGCAAAGATGCACGCCCTTAATGGTGTTATTTTTACTGTGCAGGACAAGACACCCTTGGGGGCATAAAGATGGAGAGCCTTAGTGGCACCCATTCTAGCCCATCGTGTTTCGCATTGTAATGCAGTCTTGTTCTGTTCGTGCTGCACTCAAGGAAGTGCAAACAAAAATTGCCCAATTCAAACTTACCGCAACTTAAAGGCAACAAGCAGCTGCCGAAAATTTACACAGCGGCGAAGCTGAACACACTTTGTTATTGTGGAATGCCTCTCTTCCTCCGATCAAGCTCCGTGCCTCCGCACCAACTGATGCCCCCGCTAACGCACTATTTCACACCGATGCCAAGAAGTTCGCAAACTAAACTTCCCTGTTTTTTTTTTTCTTTCTAACCTCATCTTTTCAATACCGCCAATGATACGTTTTTTTCAGCCTCATTGCTCTTGTGACCTGGGACTGCCCGACTGCTCTTCCGCGACTGTAAACAAATGGAATGGTCATACCGCGCTGACATAGCACGGTTGTTCGCGGCATTTTTTTTAGTGTTTTTGTATGAGAGACATTTTTTTTTTTTCCTCGGCAACCTCACAGTAGGCGGCACTTGCGTCAGCTGTGGGCGTCCACGTTACCTGGGCCAGCCAAGCAGCTGCCCGAAGCGGTTGCTGTGTGGCCCAGCTTACAAGAAGAGGAGCCGTGTTCGCTGCCACTGCCATCCGGTGCGCTGTGAAGAAAAAGTTTGGGAGAGAAAAAATAAAGAACCATAACTTCGTGTTACTGAGCTTATCAAACTGATGGCAACGTCTATCGCAACTCTTCCTTTTTTTTAAGATGTGTATATTCTAGTTTCAACATTGTTCCACATTTTCGTAAAGCTTGCTGTTGGGTTAGTTGGTGCATGTTACAAGAAAATTAGACCGGTGATTTGTGTCATATAATTTTTGTTGTGACCTGTTCCACACATTTTAGCACTTTTGAAATTCTTTCACGTGTTAAACTTGGTTTTGCAAAACTTCACCGCCAAGTCCATAAAATCACAGAACGAACCCGAACTCACAAACCATTATGAAAAATTTATGACAGCCAGCGGATATACAGTATGGACAAGACGGAAAGTTCAGTAATCAATGCTCACCTGTCGCTGCAATGCGATGGCTCCAACCATTCGACCGAGGAATTCACAGGCAAGCCAGAGGGATTGAAGTTCGCCTGTTGAAGAAACGGGCGACTCTATAAACCACGCTGTAAATATTCACTTCACAATACTACTGATGACAACTCTAAACCCCATATCGACAAATTCAGATACATTCGTTCAGACATGAAAGCCCCTTCATTAAACAGAAACATAGTGCCATCCCCCTGGGAGTAGCAAAAAGTTGCACACCCCCCCCCCCCCAATAGAGAACTGATTATGAAATACCAACTACCTCAAATCCACATGCTGTTAGTCTTATTGGTTCCTGAGAAACAAGCCTTCGCGTTTGAAAAACTTGGCACGACAAAAAAAAAAAAAACAGAAACCAAAGACCAATGCCTTCTAGGTGCAGTTGCTAGAACACATCTGTAAGTTTTCTACATTTTTGAAGGGTTCTCGCACTCCCTTCAGCAAGGTAAATGCAGCAAGGGCATGACAGCAAAAGTTTCGGGCTTGGGAAAAAGATTTAACTGAACAGCTATTGGTTAGTAACACATTTACTCGTCCACTCCCGCTCCTCGTAACAAATGTGTACCTTGCTTTCTTGAAGGATGCTGAGGCACTGCTCCAGGCACATGACTGTGGCACACGACGTTGCTTTTAGCAATAGCATGTCCTGCGAGAATAAGTGAAAAGTGAAATTGCTGATCGATTTGCACAGTTTAAACACCCAAGACAATCCAGGGTTTATGGTATACACTTTAGTAGAAGGCTGTGAATTCTGACTGCTCAGGGTTTTCCTGAACACCCTAACCTGTAACCTGCAAAGTATCAGCTCGAAGCGTGTACTTCTCTGGGTGTCTTTTTGTAATCCGAAGACTGCCAATGGGTGTGGCACAGAGACCAACAACCAAAACGTTTTTCGTAAGTAGAATTTGGTTTTTGCTCAGCGTGGCAAAACAGTCATAAAAGTACAATATGAGCCTGAATTCGTTAAATTTGCCAAATATTTGGGACATTCGGCAGCTATGCAACTTGTATCTGAAGCTAAGTATGCAAGTCATTGAGCCGTCCTCGTCAAAATGAAGTCATTGAGGATCAAAATCAAAGACGCAACATCTTGGTTCCGGTACTTAATGCATCCACCTTCTTATTAGGTAAAAAAAAATATATATATATATATGTTCAGAGAGAAAATGCAACACCTCGGAAGATAAAGATTCATGGTACAAAACACTCACCTTGTCGTAATACTTAAAACCAGGCCCGTGGCTTGGGAGGCTCTGCAATGAAAAGCAAAAAAAAAAAAAAACAAATAAACAAACCTCGGCATTACAAGCCTGCAGCATCCTTAAATTGACTGCTAAACAAATATGACCGCGACATTAGCCAATAAGGCCACTAAATAAAGGTGCAAAAGGCCAGCTGCAACAAAATTTTATTTCTGATATTGTCAATAAATGGGCAGTATATAGCTGATCTTGGCGAAGCTGAAAGGCAGGAAACTGTCTAACGTTTTAAATGACTCGGACATGACGTTAGCCAACAGTGGTTAGCTATGGAGCAGTATTTAGGGAGTGAAGGTTCCGTTAGCCTGGCATCCGTGAGTAAGCAAGTGTTGCGAAACCTGATAGCGCCAACAGAGGCAATTGAGTGGCAGCGCCTTGCAGTACAGAGGCACAACCATGGATATTGATTTGATTATGTGGGGTCTAATGTCCCAAAACCACTATGTCATCATGAGAGACGCCGTAGTAGAGGGCTCCGGAAATTTCGGCCACCTCGGAAATTTCCGCACGCGTCCTGTATACATGCTTCACAATGCAACATGAAATACTGCAGTAATGATGCGTGGTACAAGCTGCCATTTCCAGCGGGCATCAGGACATGCGATCATCATAGCAGCTTCGTGGTTTAAAGCCGATAAACCACTACAAAAGGCACACACGCTACTGCGCCTAGTCCCTTAAGGCCACGTAGTGGGTGCACAGCAAGTTCGAAAAGGTTTTATGCACCAAGTGTTCGAAGCACGCACTAGAAACAGGATATCGCTATCACGTTCAACTCCTACAAGCGAAGCTTTAGGGTCCCCTAATTTTTAACGTCCAAATCGATCGCCCAAACAACGTCTCACCCGTTGTACGTTTTACATGCGAGTGATACGCTACTCAACAATCGACCACATTAATACTATCAATCAGGTAATAGAGAAGTGCTCAGAATATAACCAACCACTATACACAGCCTTCATAGATTACGAGAAGGCATTTGATTCAGTAGAAATATCAGCAGTCATGCAGGCACTGCGAAATCAGGGCGTCGATGAAGCATATACAAATAGGGGTGTGCGACTATCAAAATTATCGAATATGAATTCAATACGAATACATATCTTCGAATACGATTCGAATATCGAATAGTGAAGAGGTGCAATTTTTTTTCCACCAGTAATCTTTTACTCAAACATATATTTAGGTAGCAAACAGTACAACTGTTATTACAGTCAGTTAATGCAAACAAAATTTTTTTTAAATATCACCATCTATACTTACCATTGATTGATTTGTGGGGTTTAACGTCCCAAAACCACCATATGATTATGAGAGACGCCGTAGTGGAGGGCTCCGGAAATTTCGACCACCTGGGGTTCTTTAACGTGCACCCAAATCTGAGCACACGGGCCTACAACATTTCCGCCTCCATCGAAAATGCAGCCGCCGCAGCCGGGATTCGAACCCGCGACCTGCGGGTCAGCAGCCGAGTACCTTAGCCACTAGACCACCGCGGCGGGGCCATCTATACTTACCAGAAAGCATAGGACCAATAGGTGAGCTTGTGACTGTGATGTTGGGTTCAATTCACATGATGAACAAATCTTTTGTATCTTTTTTTTTATGTGGTAGTACTTTATTACAAAAAAAAAAGAAAAGTTTTCGTACCTTCCTTTCTAGCTCGAAAGACCCCGATTTTACAGTTTTATTTTTAATTTTGTCCACTGTTCTGATATCCGGTCAAGTCACTAAGGAAAATAGGAGTACTTGCGTTTTTCAACTACACAGCAATACTCGTTATCTCGGTTGCTTACGTTGCCCTTCTTGGAGACCACGCTCGCCATTCTACGATCAAGAATGCTAAGTTCTTCTTTCCTCTCTTCTTCTCCTGTTTCACAAAATGTTTCTTGCACCTCAGTCATCTGCACCAAGTGAATTTTATGTTGAAAGCGAATAGTGATTTTGGTCAAATAATTTCGTATCGAATAGTATATATGACATAAAGAAAAATGGGCATATTTATCATGACCTAACTAACCTGCACAATATTTTTGAAAATGAAATAGAGCCTCCTATGCCAATTTTCTTTTTTTTTCTCGTTCAAAAGAAGTCAAAAGAACTTTGAGTAGTAGCAGGATTTTACTTTCAGCAGGATGCGAGTCATACCCCTTAAAATACGTAGCATATGATTTTTTTATACTTGGAGCATATGAGCTGCGATAACTAGCTTTTAAGCTTAATAAAATCAATTCATTTGAGAATTATTTCAACTTGAAGGGTTCGTGCAACACTTTTCAAGTAGCCACAGAATGCATTCACTAAAGAAGCTTATTTTACCTCATTAATTAACTGCCGCAAATTCTTTTAGAATCTCTTTAATACGCACAAAGTTGGAAAGATTTCTCGCACGCTGCTAGTGCGTTCTCTCGAAAGCTAAGCAGGGAAGGATAGCAGGGCCAAAGAAAAACGTCACGTGCGCTTCGCGACCTTGAGCACTTTTTTTTTTCTTCGAATGTGCGGCTTTTTCAGAGTGATCGCGCACACATGGGCAAGTAGAGGCCTCTCGCGGCTATTTCTGGCTGATAGATCGCCCGTTGACGTGTGATTTTTGGGTATATAACGTGATTTGTCGTGAGAAGAAATGCAATTTTTAGCTGACTTTGATAATTTATTGTGAATTCCGTGTGCTGTGCTATAATATTTGGCTCGCATGTTGTCCGGAGCCTGTACTACCGTCGGCAGCATTTTTTTTTACCATGCTCAAAAAGTGTTGTAGGGCCCCTTTAAGAGATGAAATGCAAGCCTTTCTTCAAGTAACATCAACTAACATTTTTTGCCATTTGCATTAAATGTTCGCTTTTAAGGCAAAACTCTCACACTTTTTACAATCCTTGACAGCAGCGAATTCGGAATGCCATCAAGTGCTGCTGATGCAGGAACACAACCACTGTTCTGCATTTCAAGCAGAAATGATTGCAATTCTTCAGCAATAAAAAGAGCACAGTGTTGCGTCACTTTCTACACGTAATGTGTCTCATTCAACTCCCCAACTTTTCCATGTCTTCTTGGTTTTCCCGGACACTAGACACCCTGTTAATGAATAACACACAGACCCGAGATGCGAACTCCTGGGCATTCATCACATTGCAGCTGCCAGCTGATCTCTAACATACTACCTTCACAGCCACGCTGAATTAATCAGTGTTACGTGAAACACCATTTTTCAAAAAAGTCAACGAACCTCGATGGACTGAGCCAGGTTGTAGTAGAGCTTCCCAGCACGAGCGAGTATCTCCCGAACCGAGGAGAAGGCCTCGGCAGGAGTCGCACTCGCCTCCGTGTGGCCGCCCATGCCAGTCGTATACCACACCGTCTGCGAGCTCGCTCCCGGACCGGTCCCGCTTCCCTTGTCCTGAGGTACCACGCCTTCGTGGGGACTACGGATTTCCCGCGGCAGTAGTGGAGGGTTTTTCTGAAGACAAGAAAACACGCCAAGAAAGACGCCTGAAAGCGCACATGCAACGAGCGAGCACAAAAAGCGATTGATGATTGATACATGGGGTTTAACGTCCCAAAACCATCGCATGATTACGAGAGAGGCCGTAGTGGAGGGCTCCGGATATTTCGACCACCTGGGGTTCTTTAACGTGCAACCAAAAAGCGAGAAAATGGGCATAGAACAAAAGAATGTGTCGTTTTGGCCAAGATACTTCTACTTTTTGGGCTGCCCACTTGCACCGTGTACAGGGATGTCCACATCTAAGATGAAAGTCATGTTACTATTCAAGCCCTCACAGAAGTTAATGTTTAATACACTGCAGAAAGGTTTTTTGAAGGGCCAGTTGCTACATGATACATGTACATGATATTGATACGCTGTTCCCCTCCAGTATCAGTTTAGTACATTATTTAGAAAATTGGATATCATTCTATTGGTTGCCACGATTACATGTCCTACAACAAAAACTTCTCTTGTGAAGTATAGTGAACATTCTAGTTTTACTGACCTAAATACTGATGGGACATTCACCTGCGATGTGCGTACACTAAGCATGACAGTACAGTCGCCCAAACCTTCAATTATCATTCGCGAGCGGCAATCTTTTCTGCGCATCTTCCCCGTACGACTGAAGTAAGTTCCATAAAGTGTAAGTGCACATCCACACACGACATGCCCACAGGACAATTTTGAGGAACTCCATTCCATCATGCGGCACTGAAAAAAAGAAATGTTGCCACTGCGCATGTAGGTCAAAGATTGGGGAGACTGTACATGCAAACTTACCTGTACACTGAGTATCACTGTACATGGTAATTTACCCCCAATAAATGAGGGCACAAGAAGCCAGAAAGCCTCTCATGAGAGGAATTTAATCCCTACTTGCACTGTGGGGCCTATTCAATCTCACTCAAGCCTATTCTACTCTGCTCCTAGTTTTTTGCAGCTGCAGATATTATTCAAACGTTTGATGAATGCTGGAGGAATATTTTGTATCAAAATTATTTTCTGCATCTATCAACCTGCATCGTTGCCTCAGATGCTGTCGTACTGCCATAATTACGAATTCAACAACAGCACTTGATCATGTGACAAAAAAAATTAACACATATCAATAACAGGTGACAGGGAAATCGCAAAACAAAATGGGTCATCATGAAATGCAGCCCCAGGGTTTAGACTCCATAGCAATCTATCTACATTTTCTATACATCTTTTGGTTGTACTGCATCAAGCCCCTGATCCCATTAATGATGATCGTGTGGTGCCCAGTGATGAACAGGTAAGTGAGAACAAGAGAAGTTCAACAGAGTCGTTAAACGATACAGCCAGCATGTCTCCTGACCATTTCAAATTACTGTTAGGCCTGCATTCAACTTTACAACAGATTTCAAGGTGATGCTGTGAAATTTAAGCACAAACACAACAGGCACTCAACATGGATGAGAAGCGACACACACAAGCACTTTTATGTCACGTTTTTTTTTGTGAAGTATCTTTTGTGTCTGAGCTGTCACTTTAAACTCAGGATTTCGTACGCCCAAGATACCGCATGTTTGCAACTGAAACACAGCCAGAAACCACAGGCTGCTGTGAAAACTGCCCAGGTATGCTGCTCTAATGCAAGTTAAATGTTGAAATATTTATCTACAGAGCTGGCTCCAGCTCCAATCGCCCATTTTGACATAAAGCAGGCTAATAGATATCTGCTGTGGCTCCTTAAAAGTAGCACCATAGCCAATTTCAACACCCCTCCCTGTCCTTTCTCCTCCCACCTTCCTCCTCCTCCCTACACAGGTGGTATACCGTGCGCTACTATTAACGCAGAAAGAGCCCTAAGGGTTGCTAAAACAAATTAAATGCAGAGCCCACGTTTTGCAGCAAACTTAAATACCCTAAAGTTTCCGCTCCTTGAAGCTGCCTCTTAGTGCAACTGATTGACAAAATTATTAACGAATAAAATGCTATGCTTTGATATGCCAAAGCTCTGATGCGATTATGAGACATGCAGCTACTTAAGTACACTGAGATGTTTCATGCTAGTCATATGGACCACTATAGTCGATCTCGAAGAATGAATGACCAAAAATTTCACCCCTGGAGCTGTTCTAACTAGTGGCATTGCTTTAGGCCTCTATCCATTCCCCACTTAATCATCAAACACTCACCTGAGCTATTGTCTTAGTGTGGTCTTCAGCGACCTTGCGTAGCCTGTTGATCCAAAACTGCCTCTCCTTAGCGTCTTGGCCTGGAAAACGGGAACGTCCGCAGGACACCACTGTGTGAGCAACAACCATTATTCGCCACCAACCTTACGAACTAAGAGGGTCGCACGCAAACCACAAGACAGAGTGCCCACCTCTTAATTTGTACACTTCTCCGCAGGCCGCGCTGACGGTGAACATCTGGCCGTCCTCATCGCTTGGCGAAATGACGGCCCCCTGTACACGATAGCAGTATTGGATGGAAACATGCACGTGACTTTTAGGACGAACAAAATGTGAATGCGACATCTGTGGCCGAGAATAGCAACGCAATCGTAATAACATCCGTGAGGCTATTTTATGAACACATCAGGACTGGACACATCCAATTACACCTGCATTGACCTACTTCCATCGCATGCCAGCAAAATTTCTGCGATCTTGACTGTGCTTGTCCTATCGCAATATATGTCTTGTATTTGTAACAAATCATTATTTATTAATAGTGTGATATAAATACAGTTTGCCCCAGTACAATTTCGGCCTCTTAGACACAAATGGCAAACAGCTTCACCTTTTGCCTTATTAATCAATGTTATGGTTTCGCATATATTGTCACACATAGATTTTTTTTTTCCTTGCTGCTTGCGATTGCGACTGTTATATCTGAAGTTTACCTTATCAGGGTTTAGTCGCAAGTAGCACCGGCAGAATGTACTGATTGTATGTTTTTTTTTTTCCAAACAGAAACACCGCACCCTGCCTGCCACGAATTGGAGGTCGTCGCGTGCAGTTACCCAATGCAATCTACCGCAGCGCGGTAGAGAGAAATACGGAGTTGGTGAACTTACCGCAAGATGAACTGCTCCGCGAGGTTTGCCCTTCTTTACTTCATCTAACTGGATAAAAGCAAGAAGCGAACAACATGCATGAACGAAAATACGGACCGCACGGTGCGATAGGTCTCTTACCATGTAGTATTCTAACATTCCAATGTCCGGGTTCAGCACGAACCACCTGTACTGCCATCCCTTGACAACGTTTGTATACTTGTACAGCTGACCCTCTAATGGCTGCCTGCGAATAGAAAATTGAACACCGTAAGCAAACTGAATAAACTGAGTGCATGAGCGAAACGTGGGATTTGGCCGATGCGTTTGAAAGTGTGTAGGTCAACGCCAAACAGAACCTTGCCGGTCAACCGACGACAAAACGAAAGCATTCAGAGGTGCCGAAGTGTTTCGTTTCACAAATACGAAAACTGAAACCGGTCACGCTGTGTTGAGGCCACTTACCTCATCTTGTTCCCTTCGTCAACGTCAAGTTCCTGCAGAAGCAAGCACGAAGAACGATTACTGAAACAACTCATCACTGTGAAGTTACCGCTACGCTCGAACCGCTAAACGAAAACAAGCTAAGTAACGTGACTGCCGATACCAAGATGTCAGCGAGAAGACGGGAGCTCAACGCCTTGATGGTGTCGACAACGGCCATTCTCGGTCGTGTTCGTTTCCCATCAACCGGGAGTTTATCGAAGCAGAAACAATCGCCGATGATGCGGGGCGTACGCACAACTCGAAAGCACCGTTTCTCCGAGCTCGAAAGTTGTTTTCCCGGAGCTCGTAATCACGGCAGTTGATTCCCGACACAGCGTGTTTACTTCAAGCGCGATCATGACTGCCCGCGAGATAACGAACTTTCTCTTCTTCGGCAAACGGCACAACAGCATCGACAAATTACGGGAAAATGTTAACCACCTACCTCGTCGTCCGCCATTGCGCTCGATCATAAAAGTAACAAAACTAGTGGGGCATGCGAGGGCCGCCGTCATGTGGATCACGCCTTTTCCGCGAAAAACAAGCCGTAACAGCAACGCGCGGTTTCTAGCCTTCCGGAATTTTAGCTCCAAATACGACTTTAGCGTCTTCACGTAAGGATAAGCATAACCATAAAACGCTTATATGATATAATTGCATAGGCAATTCGGTGAACGTTTGTGTTGAAACATTACTCGCAAGGTGGCGTAGCACACGTAATAGTTTTTCTTCAAAACCAAACTTTGTTTTGATTTGATTGCAAACACCATTGCAGTGGTTTCGTTTTCAGTTTCGTTTCCCAGACGTTTTCACAGAGTGACGCTACAGCGCGCAGTTGTTCGCGTTGTATGACACGAAAAAATAAAAAAAGAACACTGGCTACTAATTACCGCCTATAAATAGTACGTACTTCATGTAGCTTAAGTTTGGGCATGCTGGTACTTCATTTCAGTTTTTTGGCGCTGGAATTTTCGTGAGGCTTTTCTCTCACAACCATTGTGTTGATGGTGTTGTGGTCCCGCCAGAATGGTCCAGATTTTTTTTTAAGAATAGCATTTTCCTCAAACATAAGACAGATTGCAACATGTATTAAAAATTTCATAGAACTTGTCCCTGGGCGCCGCCATAACCCCATCTGCACTGCCAAGCATATTACGTCAGCTGGCCAGCCCAGAATGTAGGTTTCTTCTCTCTTGTGAGGAATCAAGCACAGAATTCTAGAGTGATTTAACATGTCTGTGTTGTGCACAGCACCAAAGCTGCCCATCTTGCCACGACTAGCGAGAGAGCGTATGTGGATAACGCTGGAGACGCCGCGTCGTGGTACCTGAACCAACTGGACGGCACGTCACATGTCCTGACGGTTATTAGGGGCCGACGTAATTTTTTAGCGGTACCACACTTCGCTCGCAGGCAGCTGCACATACTTTGCAAGACAGGCACTAGGAAGTTTATTTAGCGATCAATATAAGAACAAAGTTGATCATAACACATAAATAACAAATCAAAAGGTAAGGTAGTATTTGTTGCGCACTGACGCACGGTAAGAGGAGAAGTAAAACAGACGCCGACGTTCGTCTTACCTCGTTCAAAATAATAGTATCTGGAGTAACGACCCACATCAGGCGTTTCGATAAAACACCATTTGGGTGAAGTTAATTGTTGCACAATTGTGATGCTAATGTTATAGCGCAAGGACACACAAGATATGACACACGGAGTAAACAATTAAGCGTTTGTTTGTGTGTGCGTGTGTGTTTTCGTGATGCGCGCCTAGTGCGTGCCGCAATTTTATCGATCATGTATGCTTAGAAATATTTTGAAATTTTGAAGAATGCAGTCATTGGTCTATTTCCACGCTTTATTGTGTTCTCAAGGTTCTCAAGGTCCCTTTTCTTCTGCTCACAGTAAGATAGTTAAGCGAGGCATAGCACGAACCTGCCTTGAGAATGCTTTAAATAGGTTGTGCGCCCACAATATCTCTGCGAGCTTCAAAGCTTAAGTTTCCCGCCTAAAGGCTTCAGGTTTCCCCGAGGCGTTTATCGCGTCTGTTGTTGAGACGATCCTGCGGACTAATAAGGCAGAGCAGAGGAAGCGACAGAATCTGAGCAACACGGATACAGAACGTGAAAGGATAGCCGTGATTCCATACATACACCAGATATCACATAGGCTCAAAAAAATCGGAAAACGTGTTGGAGTCCGTGTCCTGTTCTCGGCACCATTCAAATTAATCAGCCTCACCAAATCTACCAACCCCCTGAAAGCGCAATCATTAACGAAATGCAGAGTTCAACATCGAAACAGGTATGCGGCCTGCTCCCGGGAAGTCGTCTATAGGACCCCCCTTTCATGTGGTGCTTGTTATGTCGGAACGACCGGAAGGTGTCTGAACGATCGGCTGAGAGAGCACGCGAACAATGTTAGAAACGGGAAAGATGGTTTTCTTGCCCAGCACTGCACTCAGTGCCATTGTGTTCCCCTCTTCAAGGACACAGCGACGCTGTACAAACACAGAGATGAAAGCACCCGGGTCATTGTCGAGGCCGCGCAGATGGCACGCGAACAGGTGCCTTGTATTAGCAAGCCCTCCGTGGCTTTGTCCGAGAAGGAACGCAGGTTCCTCGAAGGTTTTGGTGCGGGCAGGTAGTTATTTTATCTTTACCTTTCTGTTTCGTTTTCTTCTAGGTTTTTTCCTTGCTGTTTTTCAGTGTCTTGGTTTTGTGTTGTTTGTTTTTGTTTTTCTTACTCATGTTCTGCTCTTTGTGCCATATGGTTTTTATCACATGGTCACTGTCTCCTCTATATATTTTCGTGCTCTGCGCAATAAACTCAGTAGCGCTCGTGTCTTTCGTGTCCTTCTTGTCTCTGTGTCGTCGTTTTGTTCTCGCGCTATAACTATCGTCATCCTCAAGGTTCCTTCTAGCTTGAGCGTTATCATCTGTGTACTTTTTCATTTTGTGTGCGCACTTCAAAAGCCAAAGAATTTGAAAGCAGCCCTAAAATATGACACGAACAGGCACTTAATCGTAACAGGTATCCACATCGCAAAGATCTATGTTACAAAGGCAGAAATTATATGTGATGGCAAATCGCAATGGATATGCCTGCTCGGCCAAATCCGCAATTCAGGAAGCGCAAATAGAATTTTTTTATCAGTAATTTTGTTATCTCTTTCTATCAGTACGGCCGGTGTAGGGCGAATGTGGGCCCGTGTGCTCAGCTTTGTGTGCACGTACGTTAAAGAACACCAGGTGGTCGAAATATCCGGAGCCCTCCACTATACGGTGTCTCTCATAATCATGCATATGGTGGTTTTGGGGTGTTAAACCCACATATCAATCAATCAATATATATAGCTGAATGCCGGTGGGTTATCAAAATAAAAACCTTAAATTTTTTTGAGCGCCAATGTGAGCTTTATCTATTAGTCATATTTTTCAGACCCTATACGGCCATATATTTTCTTACGATATAGGCAACTATCTATGCGTGTCATCTATTGAAAACAATAATCGCTATAGGCAATGCATAAATATACTTAGTTATATTGTTTCGATAGCAAATTGGTCATGTTGAAAAAGGTTCTCTTCCAACATGATTTCGCCTGTCGTCTCCGCCGCAAGTAACGCATTGAGCTTTAAAAACTTCATCCACAATTTTTGCACCCGGTTCATGCAGAAGATCGACAGCATGCATATTCGCGCTAGAATTTACACATATTTAGTTTCCAATATTATACGAATTGAATTTTTCTCTCTACCTTTTGTAAATCTTCATTGTCACCCGTCAGTTAATTAAGATCGGCCCGATTTCGCAACTCTGATTTGTATGTCCTGAGACTGTGTGCAAATAAATGATCAATATGTAATTATTCATCTTTCTTATATAAATAATTCAACTAGCCGCGAACAATCTGTCGGATTCAGCCCTACGCTTTCAGTCTATCATGCGATATATGTTCTCGACGGACATGAAAGCATTGCGCATTCGTTTTAGAGCTCTTCGTGCAAGGCCCATCATAAACTTCATCATAAAAACTTGCTTGGAGGGGGGGGGGGGCAATTCTCTTCATATATTTGCAGAACGGTTCAAGTCTGGGTCGGCTACGTAACAATGAAGGAAGGAAACGGACAAAGGAGAAAAGTGGCACATATGACGACAGTCGTCGTGTGCCACTTCTTTCCTTTGTCCGCCGTCCTCTTGGCTGGTTTATTCGTTCAGCGTAATATATATATATATATATATATATATATATATATATATATATATATATATATATATATATATATATATATATATATATATATATATGAGATCTAACAGACAGTAATGCCAAGGAATGTACAGGGGAAGTTAATAGAACCAGCGGAATGTAAATAAGAAGAAAGAAAAGTGGATGAAAAAATAACCAGCCGTGAGCAGGAATCGAACCTACGACCTTCGAATAACGCGTTCGATGCTCTAACCACTGAGCTCGATGCTCTAACCACTCTAACCCCCACTGAGATTTCAAGGAGGGGGTTAAAACCCAATTGACTGCGCCAACGGTGCCATATAGCGTTCTTTCCCCCCTCCCTCTGTGTATGTGCTGCATGACGGCTCATGCAGCGGACCCCCTGCCAAGACTCCCACACACGACGCGCGGACGACTGTCCCCTCGGCATGTGCGTGTTTCCTCGATGCAACTCCGAAGCAACTGTTGCTAGGTCGGGGAAATTACACGCGAGATAAGCTGTCACGGCCACCAACGCGATGCCATAGCTGGTTCCGCATCGGCTGGGACAGAAAATTGACTCATGTCTAGTTGTCGAACGCCGCCACACCACGGTGAAAGAATGCGCCTGGAGAGGAACGCCTCTTCCGTTTTCTCTGGCGCCGCGCGTGCGATGCGCATAATCCGGCGCTGTCATCTGTGCTCTCTATTACCGCCCACGCTATTCGCTCGTAACACACCGCGCGCGTCCCAGGGGCAACGAACTGAGCGCGAAGTCTTCTCCAGCGTCCGAGATCACCGCTTGACCGAAAAGTCGCACCGAATAAAATCCGGACGCCAGCAGATGCGCGTTACATATTTCGGGGCGCCCTTTTAATGGGCGCTTTCGATGTAGTTCAGCCGGTGAGAACCCATGCGTGGTCGAAAGCGAACGCAGAGAGAGAGCGTTCGCCGCTTACTCCTCGCTCAAATTACCCTCCTTGGGGGCCCTTTCGGTGGGCGGAGCCAGCCGGGCAAGTCGCGAAAAAATACCGGATAGCTCCCTCCTCGCCCACTCCTGCGCTTCTCACTCTCCTCCCCGAACGGCAAATCGAAGCGGCCTCGCCGTAGCTCCCATGCACAAAGGGGGCTGTTGTGTTCTTCGCATTGTTTACATGCGCGATCGGAGACACCACTCTGGCATGCGTGCGCGTGCGAGAGCGGCTGCAGCGGCGTCTGTGGTGGGTGCTGTTGCGTCTCCTCCTGCGGCGGTCTCCGGCGACTGAGGAAAGGAGACATGCCCTAGACGACGCGCGCCGTAGACGACAATGAGCGCCGTGCTTGAGCCGCCGGTAACGACTCGAGTTCGAGCCCAGCACGTCGTCGACAACGAGTGCTACATCGTCGACCCCGAGACCCGCGTCACGTATCGCAAGGGAAAGCTGCTCGGAAAGGTGAGCCTGCGGCGACGCCGTGTACTTACAACGCCGCCGACGCAGACCTCTCTTCCCCGCATCACACGGCGTCGGGAACGTGGAAGCCGAGTCGCTCCGCTCGTGACTGTCTCCCACCTGCGTCCCCCTTTTCTCGTTCGCTCTGGGGGCGATGCCTGTTGTGCCCGGGTCGTGAAAAAAAAAAAAGTTCGTCGAGGCACCTGCTGCATGTTCAGCTGGTGTTAGGTGCATCGTTATGTTTCGCGTAGCACGTACGCTGACTCGTTATCGCGTTTTTTCCTGCCTCCCGTGCTCAACAAAGGGCGCACCGCGGAAGGCGTAGTTGGTACGGCGGCAACAGGCGCCGCGGGTCTATGGACGTGTATAAACAGCAGCTGATAGCGTGACCAAACATTGACCTTTTCTGCTTCCAGCCAATACCAACGTCCTATCCTCAATCTTTTATCTTCCGGGATTTGGCGTCGTCCCCCAAGTTCATCGAGCACGAATTGTTCCTCGCTGCGTCGACGATTGGCTCGCGAGCCCTGGAAGCATTTGTCTAATAAAAATAATGCTGCTCTTTCAGCGATCCGCTCTCGGCGTCATACTGCGTGGTCTGAAACTCGTTTATTGTTGTTTACCATCACTTTGTACGTATCATGCTCATGTTGAAACTTGCCCCCAAGTCTACACGTTGCTGTCCGAAACCAACCGGTTGCCTGTTGGAGATAGTCCTGTGAAAGTGCACATGCTTCAGTTTTCTAAATTTAGAAGTGGCAAATACGACGCAGCGAAGTGTACTCAGGCTACGACTAGCTTGACTATCGGTACCTGTGAAAAGAGTGTATGGGCAACACGTACGGCAAATAAAATGGTATATCCGCGACAAGAAAGATAGAGAGAATTCACGTTCCGTACAAGAACTATAACGAGTTCGAAAAAAGCCATCATTTTCTTGAGAATCGGTACAAGTTCAACCCCGCCGAAGGAGTAGCTCAGCGTAAAGGAGGGACATGGGGGAGAAAGGGCAAGTTGCCGAGTGCACATTACTAAATAGGCCACAAAAAACGTTCCGTCGCTTAAGCGCGATATTTTGGATAAAAATATTTTGCGTCCAAGCGTGCTCGCAATGAAATCAGTTGTTCTGCATGTATATCTTGCGAATATTTCGGAAAAAAATTGCTCGTTAGCCGCATCCGAACTGGTACCAAAGCTGCGCCCTGTTTTTCGTACTATATAAGTACCGACGCTATCTGTAGTGTTAGTGTTCGGTCGCACCTAAAGCTACTGTGCAGCTTTCGTTTCACAATGCTGCGCAAACTAAGAAGGTGCTAAATTGTTTGCCCTCCTGAACCATGGTGTGACTTCTATTACGACTGAGTCATGCTCACTGATATGGATGGAACATATGTCAAGTTAGGTTAACTTTTTCCTTCTTTTCTTTGATCACATATATGGGCAGAAAATTATGCAAGGACATTTTATATGAAAGACATTAATTAATGGTGTTTATTTGTACTTCACAGTCGCAACATAGGACACACCTTTGTTTCGCTTAGCAATTGTGTATTCTTTTTATGTGTGTGAACTGCATGTACTAGGCAAATGCTGATTGCAGTTAAACCCCTTTATAAAAGGCATGCACAGGGCAGCAATTCCGGTCTTTTCTACGAGATGCCTCTTATAAGCAGAGTAACTCATATGCATTTTCTTGTACCCATTTGTCTCTTATAAAGGGTTAGACTGTATTAACAAATCAGATATGGTTCTGTTTGATTTGGCCTTAGAATTGCACAAGTTGTCACAAAGAAATTTTTAAATAGACATAGAATGTTTCAGAATGTCGCCTCGTGTGCAGTTAACCGTAAAATTTAGAAAATCCGATAAATATCATAAAAACATACAAAAACAACCTGATAATTTTCATAATGTAATAGGCTACTAACGGGAAAACCTAGACTTTACCGGTGATACGGAAATTGTTCACATGCCCTGAAGAATCCTATATGTCCAAACTTTGTATTACATTATTATCACTATTTTTTGCTTTGTCTCACTGTATTGCTTGCCTGGTTGCAGGTGCGCAAACTTATTACAAATATTTTGGTGGGTGCAAGCGATCAGATTTATCACTTTGGGTTTTATGTTAATATAAAACCATATTCTACCACTGAGCTACACCGGTGCTTGTGACTTGTCAACAAACTTGTCCAGCTTCGCGGTGAATTTTCGATGCAGGTGTGCATATATTTGAATGAAACTTCAAATACTCGATTAGTATAGTTCCATATACGATTCAGAAGACTTTTTTACTATTCAAAATGGTCAAACATCGCACAACTTCACAAGAAGTAATAAAATCAGCACAAGGAATTGCATACCTTTGCTAAATTTAACACTATTTAATGCACAAATATACTAACTAGTTTCATTTGCCAAATTGCTTTCTGCCCTTAATGCGTTTTTACAAGTGTTGTGCCAGTATTCCCGTCTTGTGGCGAAAGTGTGACATTGTGTATGAGGCCGAGCGCGTCAATTGTTCTTATGAAGTACCTCAATTATACTCACTAAAACCGCCAAAACAATTTTAAGAGCCATGGCAAAAATGAAGAAATGTCTAACGATAAGGAAATGCACCATTACTTAGGGTTTAAGAAGCACCTGCAATGAAAATAAAGTTGATTAGTTGTCATTTCGCCTCTTAACTGGGAAGGCAGGCTTAAAGGACACAAAATTAACACGTCAGCGACATCGTTAGTGAGTGGCCATTTTTTTTTTTTTCTGGAGGAATGGTGGCATGCACAAGTTACACCCAAAAATTTATATCAAGCAGCTGTTCATTCTTCTTGAAAACATTAAGTAGCTTCATATTTGGCACTGTAAAGCAATAGTGCTGCACAATGTATAAATTTGCTACGCATTATTTGCTGTCCAGCAATCTTTATCATGTCTGGCTAGCAAAAAAAAAAAACATTTTTTTAAAGTGAGTTTAAATAGTTGGTTCTCAATGAAGTTTATTCATTCTCCTTCAACAGTAAGTTGCAACACTTATATTCTAAAATCTTCAATTCACACCTGGTTCTCATTACTCGATTCGATTCACACTGCAAATTTTGATATTTGGGCATGCCTAGTTTTTGTGTACTGCACTTTCAGAAAATTGAAATTTGCCTACTTTCTCCTAGCTTTCAGTCAATTGCAACTTCCACCTAGTGCAGTGCAGATAAATTTAGAAGAGGAGACTTGTGGTAGTGATGGCTGTTTACTCCCACTTTTACACATGACTCGAGCACATCTGCAATATACAATACTTTATAAACACCCCATATCTTCTTATGCTATGAATATCATAAATGAAATAACCATTGAGGGACCCACTTCTTTCTGGCCAAGGAGAAATAGTGTTATTTATAGTTTCTAAGTGAGGCATAATAATTATGCAATATAGGAAAGTAAAAGTATATAAAAAAGATCATAAAAGGATATAAACATAGGTTGTTATCATGGCTTCATCACAAAAAACAGCACAAGCACAGTGGACAAATCTGGCATAGCCAAGGTAGCATCATCGTGATGCTATGCCGGATAGCTAGCTTAGCGTCAAATCTGGCATAGCTGAAATCATAGCTATGAGATGAAAAAAAAAAAAGGTAAACTCTTAGAGCCACACATTTGTTATTTAGCAGCACTACCTTAGAACTCATTGCTGTGTCATATAAGAATGTTCTCTAGGTTTTACGTGATTTATTCAAACCTTCAAAAATTTTACGCTCGATGTAATCATTCCATCATTGGCACTCAATAAAAATGTCTTTGTATTAAAATATTTTACAGTGTAGACTAGTGACTACTTTAGTATTGTGTCTTGCCTGTTTACATTTGGTTGCTTTGTATGTACATACCCTACTCAATTCTAATGAGGGATCTCCCGTACCACTTGTTAACTATGAGACCTACCTCTGTGTGTTTGTGAAGTACCATTTCGTAACCTTATTACGTGCAATAAAAGTGCTCTGAAGAATTAATTGTAGGTTTCACCGCAAGGATAATTTTGCGGGTGTCAGATCGACTACCCCTACCACCACAGTTACCCCTGTTTGGGGCCCTGTCACTCCGCTCTGCTACGTAACCTTGACTTCTGGGTAACCTTGTGGTCATCTTGACCTGGCAGGCGTTTTTAGCTGTTCCTCTGTTCTTCTTTACAGGGTGGCTTTGCACGTGTACATGAACTTGTGGATGTCAGGACACAGCAGGTTTATGCGGGGAAGATCATTCCCCGATGCCAAGTCAGTCGCCCTGGCCAAAAAGAGAAGGCAAGTTGTGAATGCTGCATTTATGCAAGAACAAAATCAATGCATACACTGGTACTCCAGCCATCACATGACCCTCATTCCATGTGGCTCACTCATAAGGAATAGCTGTGCTAGTATTTAAACGAAAATTTTTTTATCAACTTGTGCAGCTCTCCCATGTTCCAAGTGTTTCAGATAACAGTTTTGAAAGTTCTCAATCGTAGGGTTTCACTGGTAACAAGCAAATGTCTTAAGAAATAATCTCCAAGGTCCGGCAGAGGTTCATAGATACTGAAAAAATTGTGCAAGTAGACAATTGAGATTAACTAATTAGCTTTAAAAATAACTATATGCTGCAAGTAGCTAATTGTGGCCAGTGAGTCTGCTAGGCATATCTGCTTGGAATATTGTCTGGCTACCCTGAAAATTTGTACAGCGTGTCCACCATATCGGTTGCAACGTGGTGCCGTAAAGTAATTACAGCTGTTCATTGTAAAGGTGGTTGAGTTGAAGAAAATAGAGGTACGCAGTTTACAAATTCATAACCCTGCACCACGAGCAATGGTTTTAATCTGAGTCTGTATTTTACAGCGAACCCTGTTATGAGATCACAACTCGGGTCACGCGCAGTTGTCCGCTGCCGCCGCTGGTGTCTGTAACCGCATCGCGCGAAATTAGAAAAAAAAAACCTAGCCCCAATGACACATTGAGGCTCGAACCCGAGTCCCCTGAGAGCCCACCCAGTATTCTACCACTGAGCTACATTGGAGCTTGTGACTTGTTGGCAAACTTGTCTTACACAGGCTTGATGTCGGGAAAGCAATTGCGTTAATGCGACTTATAAAGCACTTTAAAACAGCGAAAGAACATCCAGTCATCACACAATGCAAATAGCGTAATGGGTGGGCCGTCCAATGTTCCAACCCATTGCATAAGCTTGTTCTTGTTCCCCTATTAACTGTGACACATACCCACTTCAGCCATTATTCCTCATCGTCGTCAGCCACTGCGTGAACAAGTGACACAAAATTCCTTGCAAGTGTTTAGCGGATACCAGGCTTCTCAGAAGAATGACAAAAAATATCATAGCGCATTCCGGCCTACTACTTCAAAAAATTTATTATTAATGCCTTAGTGGATATTAAGCAAGTGTGCTTGCAGTAGTTACTTAATGAGTGTTTTGAAAAGGCTCTGAAAGGCTGCTCTTCTAGCTTTTGCTGTGACTGTGCTGCGCCTTCCACACAGGCCTGGCGTTTTTTTGTCCCCTTTAGGTGCAGTGCAAGGTGCAGTTCACAGAACTGAATTACAATAGTTTTTTCTTGTAGAGTTGGGACATCAATAGAGTTTTCGTATTTTTTAAAGAATAACAAGGAATTATATCCTAAACAAAAAAAATCTGTCTACAGTTCCTAGGCTTAAACATTGGCAGTGACTACAATGAGGGGGCCTGTCAGCGCAGTACTATCGTTAGAGTGAGGAGGCTCGTCAGCATAGTATGATCGTAAGAGTGAGGGGGCCCATCATAATATCAATGCAACTATATCGATGGGCCGCATCACCATCAAGCGATGACTATGGGAGGGGGCTGCCACTGTTGTGTAATGGTAAAAATGACAGGGCCCGTTCCTTTAAGTTTGTAGTCGTTTAAGACGTTGCCATCACGCAGTCGCGGTGGTGTAGTGCGTTGACGCGTAGTTGGAGAAGGGGTGGTGTAGCAAGGTCGACTGTTTGAATTTTTCTTTTCTTAACTTTTCTTCTGTGTGTGTTATCTTTTTTTTGCGTTAATGTGTGTCAAGATTGATGTTACTGCTCTCAAGGAGTCGTAATTTGGTTTTTTTGCAAGAGAACCATGTCGCTGTCTGCGGCCGTTGTTCCTACCATGCAGATTTCGTGGCGCAGTGTTGTTGCTGTGCAACTTTTGTTCGAATCGCACTCTTCTTTTATTTTCTGCTCTCAGTACTATTTCAGCAATTGTGAACTTGTCTTTCAATGATAATTGTATTTGTTTATCGGGAATAACTCTGCCAATCACCTTTTACGTACTACGTGGAATGAATACCTTTTCCCGATGATTTACGATTGACAGTGCCCTAGGCGAGCAGATGTTTTGTTGTATGCATGCGAATTTCTTGACTTTATTATCGCACCGAACAACCACCCTCGGTCAGGTTATTCATATCCTCGATAGCCTCATTCATATCCTCGATGCTTACAGATTCTCCGAGAGATTGATTTGCACAGACCCCTTGTCAACAAGCATGTGGTACGACTTCACGACTTCTTTGGGGATGCGGAGAACATCTACATCATTCTGGAGTACTGTTCGAGAAAGGTGAGTGTTCGCTGATTCAGCCGATGCAAATCAATGTCACAAGTGAAGTTTTGCACGTACAAATTACCGAATTTATGCGCATAATTTGCGCATCCCTAATATTTTGCCGGCTTTTGAGAAAAAAAAAATATTTACTCGCATATTTTTCCCTCCCCGACTTGCCCGAGCCAGCTCGCCGGTGCGCGCATCTTTGGACCTTTCGATGCTTCGGCTGGGTGCGCGCCTCGCTGAGCTAGAGGGACCTATTCTAGCCGAGCAGACGAGCGTAGTCAAACAGGCTGCCAGTGCACAGTCCCCCCTTCCGAGGACTTCCCCGAACTAGGGTCCCTAGAATACCGCACCCGAACACGAACCCGTTTACGGGTCGCTGGAACTGTTCGAGCGTTTGCCTCCCCATATCTCCCAATCTCTACCACCGCGATAATGTCAAGAATGCACGCTCACGTCACGGCACGGACGACTTTCTGCATCGGAGGCGTGAGGGCTTGTCGCGCCTCCGATGTTCCCCTCGTTTTCTGTGTCCGCCCTGCAGCGCACGTTTGGTCGATTTCGGAAGTTTTTTTTTTTTTTTGCCATCTGGCCGATGCGTTTTGATGGTTCCCTTGCGATGTGCTGCAGTAATTACATACAGCGAAATTGAAGCTCGCTGTTGTGAATTCCACCGAGGCAAACGGAAAGCGTGCCGCCGCAAAGTACTTCAAGGGGACGTACTTCAACTTGACGACCGACGCGATCGGTGCACTAGAAAGCAGAAAAGTGTGCGCTTCTAATGCAAGTTCCTGCCATTGAATGAGGCCCTTTCAATTATGTACGGATGCTTAGTTCTTCCGGTAATTCCGTGTAGGGAGGCCTAGTTTCTCCCAGCATTGTGGAAAGAGCTTCAAGAAAATACAATGATTTCCACTAGGACTTCGCGATCATTGATTCCCACTAGACCGCGCGTGACAGGGTCTGACTGGGTAAAGTACGCGCTAATTCTTTCAAAATTAACAAGTACACTTAGTTTGTGCTCCAAGTTTTTTCTCCTTTTATAAATGTATGTACTGCGCGCGTTAGGACTATGGCACAATATTTTGTATGCGCTAGCGAAATCCCCGCGTAATTTGCGCACCCCCTTCACGGGGCCCCAATATCAGGAAAGAAAAGTGCGCAAATTATGCGAGTAAATAAGGTACCTCATATATGGATTAGCATATCCTCACGTCAACTCCTGCTGAAATGTTTAACTGTTAGCTTGCATTCTTAAAGATCTAAATGATGTTCTATGTGGCTGCTTGTCTTGCGTGAGAAAGAAAAAAAAGATAAAATGTCTCTTCTATTACGATTGTTCTACCAGTCTGCAATGAAATTTCAGTGGCTGAGGAGAACCTATTTGTGATTTTTAACGCGAAAAGGCTTAGCCGATTTTTTACTGGTGTCCTTCACGAGACCAAGAATAGCAGCACAGTATGTGACCTGACTGTTTAAGATAGCACTAAAGCTTGTTGTCACGACATTCCGTTTCGCAGTCACTTGTACACCTGCTCAAGCAGCGTGGCGGGCAGCTTCCAGAGACAGAGGTCGCCCTGCTGATGCGCCAGCTCGCAGAGGGTGTACGCTACACTCACAGCCAGGGAGTTGTACACCGTGACCTCAAGCTCGGTAACATGCTCCTCGACGAGAACATGGAGCTCAAGATTGCCGACTTTGGCTTGGCTGCGCGGGTCGCTGACGAGCCACCGAGGCAGGCGGTCTGTGGGACTCCGAATTACCTGGCACCAGAGGTCCTTCGCATGGAAGGGCACGGTTTTGCAGCCGACGTCTGGGCCATGGGCTGCATTATGTGAGTGGGGTCATCGTATGCGTGTTGTGCATGTGCATGTTGTGGGCATTGACCCAGCGTAGTCTGCATCTAAGTTGAACGCCTAATTAGTGTTCAGGACCTCATAGAGGCTAGTGCTTCATGCATACTTACAGAAGTTTATTATTGTGTTTATATAGACACCATGTTTAGACATTAATAATAGACATTTTCCTGGTGAAGTAGAGTAAACGTTCTAGATTTACTGGCTTGAATGCTAATGAGGTGTTCACCTTAGATCTGGTAGACTCTGTACATGAAAAGTCTACCAGTACTTAGGGCCCCATTTAATGAGACCATGGACTTGATGCTGTTTGTAAAATTCGGAAACGTATTCCAATAACTGCCTATTATGTTTAGCCTAAGACTGTGTTTATAGGATGACTTTAAATTCGAAAATGTTACTGTATCGAAATTTATACAATTTACCCTCCCTAACATTCCTGCTCAATATTTTTCTCTAAATCTGTGAAATACTGCCACATTAATTGATTGCAAATGCGGTAACAAAATGAGGTATTGACCTATGCTTTATTGACATCTTTAGTTGCACAGTGCACAAAGACTGCGTACATTATTCATGTGAAAATGAGCTGCTACCACTAAGTGTAGGATCAAGATAGCAGCTTCAGTGAAGTCGTTTTAGAAAACAGTTACTGTTCACTGATTAACAGAGCAATAGATGACACCACTGACACATTAGGAACTGATTGAAGTTTGTGTTTGGAACGTAACTGACTGCACAATGTTTTGGCACTCAATACACAGGTATGCTCTCTTGGTTGGCCGGCCACCCTTCGAGACGTCAACACTAACGGAGACATACCAGAGGATCCTTCGTGGCGCTTACACACTGCCGCCCGGACTCTCGGACGTGGCACGTAGCCTGCTGGTGTCATTGCTCCAGCCAGAACCCCAGGAGCGACCAAGTCTGAACGAGGTACTCGAACATCCGTTCCTGCGGCCACCTCGCGAGCAGTCTGGGCAGCTGTTGGGGATGCTTTCGCGGCTGCGGATTGACCAGCCTGCAGCGAACGCAAGCCGCTCCACGACAAGGACGTCTGGTCACAGTGGTGTGCAGGGTTCGGCGCGCGACTCCCCCGTGCCACTTGGTGACTGTGGTCTCTTAGGAACGCTCGGCCGGGTTCTTTGCCCTGACAAACGTGAGCTTCTGCTGGAACATTAGTTTGCACTGAAAAGAGCATTAGTGTTGAGAACGGTGTGGCCTTTCTGTAGTTGGGGGCAACATATCGTCAAATGCGTATGAATATAAACTGTTGAAAATGGACACACACTCTAGACTGATACATCAGCCGGATTGTCGGTGACTCTGCCACCAGAGAACATGGCAGAAAACTAGTTATTTAGTAATGAAGGCAATGGGTGGTCCTGCTTTGGACATCTAAGCTGTGCCTCTCTGGCCTTTTAAGTGGTACTCGACCATAGACTCTCTGCATGACCAGTGTTTTGATGGCCATTACAGCTTTGTGAAAATTTGAAGATTTAAAGATGCGCTTTTCTTTGCAGCATTGTGCCTACTTGTCTTCTCTCTTGTAGGTGCCATGCTTAAATAGTGCATAGTATTGTAATACAATAAAAGCTTAGCCATTTGAACTCGAAGGGGATTATAAAATCGTTTGGAGTTCAAATTAACGAGCAGATTTTCGAAAGAACACAAATCACACCACACAGCGTGAACATATTCCAAAGAAGCTACCTCTGGACTCGTTACTGTAAATTAGGTGATAGTACACATTTGTGGCAGGTGGTTTTGTAAATTATGTTCATGGAGCTTTAATAGCGTACAGAAATTAATTGATCAAACAGTGATATGCCAAAACAAAGCGCCAATGTGTACTTTTGTGAGCAATGAGCCTCAGTGCCAAAATATATGGTGTTATTTAAGCTCCAAAACATGTTTATTTGCATGATAGAGATAACGCTATCAAAATTAAAACTAGCCAGTAATTTGCATTTGTTTAGGTTTCTTTTGTTGAGACTCCATGAGCATCGTTTGCAGCTTGCCGAAAAGCTTCAGCGCATCGTGAAAAGTCTAATCTACTGAAAAATCATGCTTTTTCAATGTTTTTCAACCTGTCGTGATAACTCAAGGCCAAATTCTGTGTGGAATGATAAAAACCGGTGTCTTCTAGTTAGAATTATTTGTCCTGAATACTGACTCGTTCAAATTATCGTGTGTTTTCTCCCATAGAGATACACAGGGCTGTGCCGGGATTAGGGCATTAGTTCGAATTGACTGTAAGTTTGAATTAACTGAGTTTGAATTAACAAGCTTTTACTGTGGTTTGATTCTAGTTGTAACCTAAAGGAATGTGAAAGTGTAGGCAGGAGGTAAATGGGGCATAAAGGCCACTAGTGCGCAAGATCTGTGGTAGTAGGTTTTGAGCAATAAGTCTTGTTTTTGAAGAGGTAACTTGTTTTGTGTGATGTTTATGTCTGTACAGCTACGCTGCAGTGTTGTGGTAATTATTTTACTTGTTCAAAGAGTGAGTTTTAGGTTCAAAGCAAATTCACATCGATTAGTGATCTTGGTCAAATAATTTGAATCAAATTCGAATAGTATAGGTATCGCACATTATAAAGAAAAATTGTTGTACTTGTCATGACCTAACTAACCCACACAATATTAAAAAAAAATAAAAGGAACAAGGCTGTGGAAATGCCATTTTTGCTCTTCAAAGGAAGTGGAAACAACATTGAGTAGTAGCAGATTTTGAGCTTCGGTAGAATGCTAGTGGGAACTAGTAAAATATGTTACATTTTAAGATTGGCTATACTTGGAGCATGTAAGCTGTTATAACAAGCTTTTAAAATAAAAAAAATAATTGATGTAAGGGTAATATTTTCGTCGACCCGTGAAGTGGTGCTTCACGGCAGGGTGGACTTTTCTGGAGTGCATGTTTTCACGGTTTAGCATTACTTCACTGCAGTGATATCACCTTTACAAAGGGTTAAATGCGAATTAAAACACATTTAAATTGGTATCTTCATGGCTTAGCACCCCTTTATCGCTGTGAAACTACCTTTACAAGGGGCTACATTCTTAGAAATTTTCAATAACTCAAATTCAATTCGCAGTGAATTTGAATACCGTATTATTTGTATATTTAGGTGCATTTGAATGTTTTCACAAGCCTAGTACTGTGATTACTCGAATCTAACGCGCACCTTTTTTCCGGTTAAGCGAGTTCATAAATCGCATGCGCGTTAGAATCGAGTACGAACAAAAAAATTACGGTCAATCTATTGCCATCGGCAAATCCAAAATGGCCGCCCCCTACGTGCGTCGGCATGGCGCGTCGGCCATTTCTGCCTATGTGTTTCCCATGTGCGGCACTTCGTACGTGTGCTGAGGAGTTCGTCATCTAGTAGTGCATTAGCATTGATGGCGTGGAAGGGCCGACTCCAAAAACTCGAATGCACCACGATGCCGCTTTTAAAAGAAAAGTCATCGCGTGTGCAGAAACGGACGGAAATCGGGCCGCATCGCGGTCGTTCGGAGTTCCCGAAACGTGCGTGCGAGACCGGCGGAAACAAAAGCAGAAGATTGTCGACAGCAAAGCTTCACGCAAAGGCTTCAGTGGACCACAGCAGGGTCGGTTTCCGCAAATTAAAGTGCTGCTCGGTGAGCATGTGCTTGAGCAGCGAGCGGCACAGCGGCCCATCACGACAGAACTGCTACAAGTGCGGGCTATGCGATTAGTCTTAGAAAAAGGTCTAATGCGTAGCCAGCTTAAAGCGAGCAGGTGCTGGCTAACTAACTTTATGAGGAGGAAAGGCTTTTCCCTCCGAAGGGGAACATGCATATGCCAAAAGTTTTGCGGAGGAGTACGATGAAAAGCTTCACAGTTTTCAGAGGTTCATCCTAAACTTGCGGCGCAACAACGGCTACCTGCTTGGGCAAATCGGGAATGCCGATCAGACGCCTCTTTACTTCGACATGCCTGGCACCACAACCGTCGAGAAGAAGGGGGCGAAGCAAGTTCGCGTGCTGACATCGGTCCACGGTAAAGCTACAGTGACGGCAATGCTCTGTTACACGTCAGATGGGCACAAGCTTCGCCCGTACCTCATATTTAAATGGAAGACGCTCCCGAAAGGAGTCGTTTTTTCGAGTGGTGTGATCGTGCGGGCCAGCGAGAAAAATGGGTGCGCGTTGCAATCGATGTCTTACGTTTTTTTTTTTTTTCACGGTGGAAATCGGGTGCGCGTTACAATCGAGGGCGCGGTAGAATCGAGTAAATACGGTAATTATGCTTTCATTGTTATCTCAGCGATCTTCATTTCACCTCTGCTTGCAGGGAGTTCCAAACTTGGCACCACTCAGCTTCTTCACAGGCTACTGCAGGCCTGCTTAGATGAAATGCCCACCTCGAGTAAGTACGTCTATGTACTCGTATCACCTGTAGCTTGCCTTTCTTTCTGCCTTATGTGCAGCATAAAGCTTTTATCTGTGACAGAACTCACTGTATTGCTTGTTTCCTGCATAATCATCATTTAGGCAAAAGTTACGGGTTCTTTAATAAAGTCTTAAAGGGGGCCTGCTGCACATTTGTTTGTGAATTATTTTATCTGGCTCGGGAGCTCGGGTTGGCATAAAAACGAAGATGAGCTCACCTATGATCACTCTAAAAGCATTCGTGCTTGTTTTTGCTAACCATAACCAACACACATTTTCATTTACATTTGTATGCATTATCTTAACACTCTCTCTAGTTTTTACTTGTGTTCACCTGTGCTCAGAATGAATGTGCAGTGTTGAAAACGTTATTAAGGTGGATTCTGAATTTATGCTTCCGGTTATACTTTGGGCTATCTTCAAGTAAACTTCGGGGTGTATTCAATGTAGGCATGAGAAAATACTGAAGCACTTCGAATTTTCAAACAAGATTACAGTATTTCAATTTGCTTTGATGTGAATTTGAGCTTTTCCAAATTATGAACTGTACTCTAAATGAGTAGGTTTTTTTTTACTGCATGTAATCTTTCTGAAATTGTGGTATCATCGTAGCATAAGACTGGTACACCATGAGACTCAATGTCATTCAGCCACACCTCTAGGCTAAGTGTGCATATTACTGGCACTTTGACTATTATTTTTTTTTGTGAAGCTTAAAAGTGATTTATATGGGCCTATATGAGCTAAGTACAGTTCAGATAATTAATGACGTAAGGGTTTAAAGTGCAGAACTGGTTAAAATGCAGTTTTTTCCAGCTCCCATTTACCGTAAGTAATTCTGGTGTGATTCCTAATCAATTCTGGTGTGAATTTTACAGCAAGGCATTGACACCCGAAGTAAAATGCATGATGTTTCTGTAATAAAAGTTTTGTGCTTGCCTGGTTCAACTAGGCCCCGCTAGGTGGCATCACCTATCCAATCGAACCAGGTGAGAACGGAAGTTTTAAACCACACACGCTGTTCTCCTTGGTAACACCAATAGTTTTTTTCTCCTTATAAATCAAACAGAAATGGACTAGCGACATTTTATTACTCGTTGCAATGCATGGAAGGGTTCTTTAACATTTTTTGCAGCTGGCTTGATTACTACTGATTAATTGTTTAGGGGCTCTTGAAGTCATTGAGATCATTTCAAAATGTCCCACTTGTGGTGCATATGGTGTCATACATTTACCTTAATTTCTCGATTAATAGAGCTCTGCTGTAGATAATATTGATGTTTTAGACATTCTGAGACATTGATCTTTCACTCTGACGTAAAGTGCCTTTAGCGGTCCCTTTAGCAGTTTTTTGTCACGGTGGGCTTGAAGACTGTGGTGCGAAGGTTACGGTGGCTTAAGTAGTACTAGCAGTCACTTTTTGTGGTGCTTGCAGTAGCAGCAGGCTGTTGTGCATCGTCCAAGCAATGACAGTTACGATTCCTGAAATTGCAGATTGCGGTGTGCCACCACCGTGGGCAGGTTCAGCATTGCTTGTGACCAAATGGATTGACTACTCCAACAAGTTCGGCTTTGGCTTCCAGCTGTCCGATCGTACAGTCGGCGTTCTCTTCAACGATGCCACGCACCTGAGCTTCTCAGCGGACCGCCTGTGAGTAGTCGCTCTTGTGTTAGGATGATTTTATTAACCTTTACATTTGTGGTTTTCTGGCAGCGCTTTTGCTTCTGCGTGCCGTGTCCTTGTGCCAGCCGTTAAGGCATTGTTTGATGTCATTGGAAAAAAGATAACGTTTATTCCTGTTTGTAAACAATAGTAATTACATGGTATGTATACACAGAAGGAGGTCCTGTAGTTAGCAGCTGGAGTGGGACCTCCTGTGCATGGTGACAATTATTATAAACACAAAAATGGAAAAATGTAGATTTAGGGATTATAAAATCGGATAGCCATGTTGTGAATGGTTTAAAAAAATGGTTGACAAAGTGCTTGAAAGAAGTGTGCCAGACATGCGTTCCTCTGACCATGTGGGCTTTTATTCGCCACTTAACCACTCTAAATAGTGTCCAGGTTTTTACTTCAGCCATCCTGTAGACTTGGCTTGGAAATTGTAGTGTGTATTTTGTACTGGGAAACATAGGCGGGCACACATGAAAGAGGGGTGGAGGCTTCCTTCCTAACATTGCGTATTTACACTGTGTTCTGAACATGGGGGTCCCAGTGGGAGGGTATCAGAAAGAGCAGAAGGTTGTTACCGTGAAAGTTTGCTTCTCTCCCCAATGGAGAATGCTGCACACGGCTATGCTGGTGAATCTTGTTACAGTGAAAGCTCGTTAATTCACACCTCATTAATACGAAATTTTGGATAATTCGAAATGGTCGCCGCAGTCCGGTCCGCAGTGCATAGGAGACCATGTGTAAAACGATTCGTTAATTCGAACAGAAATGGCTGCCTCTACGGATAACTCGAAGCGCGCGCCGCCGAGCGTCATCGTCGTCAAACACTAGTGGAAGCTTTTACGGCCGAACGATAGGTGGCACGACCGGTTTTTTCGAGCTTCAAGTGGCCTCCGAGCGAAGGGCGAGCAAAGTATGGCCTCCGAAATCCAGGGAGCAAATTTTTTTTTCTGTAGCCCTCCCGCTATCTCAGCGCCTGGCGCCACTTGTATACGCGGGACCCGCGGGACGCTGAGGGGTCGGCGGAGTAGTCCTAGCAGTCCTAGGCCGCACCCGGCAGCGTCACTTTGTTCCTCGAGCACGTTGATCGTTCACGCCGTCAAGCCGTCTTATTCCGCATCGAAGTTGCAAGATGCCGCGGGGAAACTACTGCGCGAAGACTGTCAAGGAGAAGGTGGAGATTTTGCGAGAGGTTGACCAAGGGAACTCGAACAAATACGAAATTGTGAGGAAGCACGGCATACCTCCGAGCACGTTGTCAACCTACATACGTAACAGGACGGCCATTGAAAACGCCTATGAAGCCGAGGATTTTGGCGCCAGTCGAAAAAGGCTAAGGACAGCGAAGTTCCCGGAACTGGAGTCAGCTTTGATTATCTGGGTTAAAGAAATGAGAGCCCAGAGTATCGCATTGAGCGGCCCTATCATCATGGCCAAGGCAGCCGATTTCGCCCTGCGCTTGGACATTGAAGACTTTGTCGCCTCCGAGGGATGGTTTCATCATTTCAGAGAACGGCACAATCTCGTATTCCGCACATTATCCGGCGAGGCAAAGGAAGTGGACGCCGAAACATGCGCTACTTGGAAAGCGACACCCTGCAGCAGTACTTGGAGAGCTACTCACCACAGGATGTGTTTAACGCTGACGCGACAGCAATATTTTTCAAGTTGCAGCCAGACAAGACGATCACCTACAAGGGAGACAGCTGTGCCGGCGGCAAGCGCAGCAAAGAGCGTGTCACTGTTCTGGTCGCCGCAAATATGACTGGTACAGAAAAGGTCCCCCTTTTTGTGATTGGCAAAGCACTCAAGCCACGGTGCTTCAAAAACATTCGGCCACTGCCGACGGAGTACGCCGCAAACAAGAAAGCCTGGATGACAGGTGACCTATTCAGGAAGTGGCTACTGAAATTCGACAGGCGAATGGAACTGGGCGGCAGACGCGTTCTTCTTGTCGTCGACAACTGTTTGGCGCACAAAGTCGATGTTGAGCTGAGAGCAACAAAGTTAGTGTCCCTTCCAGCAAATACGACTGCGGCCCTACAGCCAATGGACTAGGGTGTGATAAGGAACATCAAGTGCTTTTGTAGGCGACACGTGTTGTAGAGAATGATTTTGTGCGCAGGCGACAGGAAGGACTTCGGCATTACGCTGCTCACTGCCATGCACATGTTGGTGCGCGCATGGGAACAGGTGACCGCGACCATAATCGCAAACTGTTTCCGCCACAGTGGATTTGCAGCTGGAAGTGCGCAGGATAGTTGTGACATCGACGTGGATGGGGCTGAGGAGCTCATGCCAGTGGCATTGCGCGACACTCTTCGGGGTGTACGTTTTGCCGATTATGTTGAAGTTGATATCGGTGTGTGGTGCCCTGACTGATGAGGACATTATCGCTCAAGTAGCCGGTGTGCAGCCTGTTGCTGAAGAGCCAGAAGGGGAGGAAGACGAAAATGACGAAGCGCCTGTGCGCCCGTCAGCTTCTGTGGTGATGGAGGCACTTAATGTGGCGTGTCTCTTATTCATCTTTGAAGCGGGCGAAGAGGATTCCCTGCGCCGCGTCCGTGCGCTGGAACAGAGAGCCGCGGCTGTGGCATTCAGAGAAAAGAAGCAGATGGTCATCGCGGACTTGCTTGGCCAATAAATATTTTTCGTGCCCCCACCCCCGAAATCCACCCATTTTTGCTCACTTTCATTATTTCGAATTTTGTTTAATTCGAAATTGCTCAGCGTTCCCATGGAATTTGAATTAACGCGCTTTTACTGTAGTGCATAAACAGCTTGCAGAGTGTGACATTGCCAAGTCTCAGTAGCGTTATCGTCATATTTGGACAGGCCAAAAGTTTAAGGAAAGGCTGCATATTATGGTATAAATTTTCTTGGCGGCAAACTTTGTGGACTTGTCTAAGTTATCAAAAGCTGACTGCGAAGGTTCAGGAGGCTGAACGGAAAAGAAAAATGCCAATCAACCGCATTTATATGACTATAAGTCGACTTGAATGCAGGTCGCCCTTTCCCCTCCCTAAAATCACACGGCAGAAAAAAAGGGGGGGGGGGGGCAGAGCATGAGCAAATTTCATCAAAAAGAAAAAAAACGAATTATAGCTACAAGCCGAGTCGGAGGCGTTTTCCCCTTCCTAACGTTAGGCTCAACCGAGCACAGGGAATCGCTTTTCGACTCCTGCAGGACGGGTACATATTTCTGCCCGTGAAAGCATCGTGGGATAGAGCCGGACTTTCATGAAGAGTGTCTTCGTTGGGGCCTCGAGAGTTGCTCGCTAGCTCACATGCACTGGTAGTGCCCTGCGAATGTGGGCGCTGATTCTTGTGGCGAGGACTCGTGGCGCCGGAGCTTACACAGCCCGGACTTGTGTCTACAATTACTGGCTGTGTGGAAGGCCCAAGCCATCGCGGAGGGTCAACTAGTCCCTCTGGTGCTTTAATAAAGTTCTTTGTATCTATGTATGTACAATGTACCCGAAAGAAACGAAATCAAAGTTGGCTTCAGGGCAGAGCTTGAAAGCTCTCCAGGAAAGCTAGCTTTGCAGGATTATGCGAGGATTGTTTTTAGAAAGACTTGACAACCGAAACTAGTTTTCGATTTTAGGTCGACCCCTCACTTCAGATTTGAACTTGAGACGAAATGGGTCGATTTATTAACGTGTAAATTGGGTAGACATCCACTCCTTACTAACCTAAGCTCTTCGTTAACGATTACAAAGCCCTCCTACATTTTAACTGTGCATTTAACTAAGGCTTGGCCTTGTTGTGCTTCTCTGCAGGCGTCTTGAGTATCGAGACAGCCAAGGGTCAATGGAGGCCCACGCCCCATCTGGCCTGCCTCCAAGTCTGCAAGAGAAGTACGGTCTGCTCAAGTATTTCGCTCACTACATGGAAGAAAACCTGACAGAGGTAATTCAGAGGCCGGGGCTGCTTGTCGAGTTATTTCTGCCCAATTTGAAAATTTTTATGCTTTATATGTGTGTATTTTCACAAATAGTAGGTTAAAAAGAAATTCTGGGGTGGAAGCTCATGCAACAATGCCTTAACCACAAAAGTGAAGCCTTAATTTGCTCCCAGTTTATGTTAAAAACATGTTTTTTTTTTTGTTCCGCCCGCTTGGAAATCAAGTGGTTTTACCCTGTTAATGTAAATGCTTAACTACAGAATAAAAAAAATTATTGTTCACGGCAGAAGTAACATATTATGATCAGTATTGATAACTTGATGGAACGCACTCTAGCAGCGGGCGAGCCACTCCCATGTTGGAAGAAAAAGACCTTATGCTTGACTAAACAAAATTTCCAATAAAATTTGCCATTACTCTCAGTAGTCTCAAGAAAACCAGTGACGCAACGACACACATCGAACGCTGTTTGTCCAAAAAGTTCTGCCATGTTAAAAATTGAGCAAGGGACAAGAATGCGCCCTCTTTTCTGTGGGCTAACCTTTTCTCACGCCCCTGCTCAGATGCAGTAATTTCCACCCTAGCGATTCTTTCTAAGCCTCCTTGTTTTTTCAGTGTTATGGAAATTTCTATATTCAGCAGTTGTCTTTGTTTGTCTAGTCTTTTGTACGAAGCCCTTTGTGTGTCATGTGTGCCTCGGAGATTAGCAGTCTTGCAAAATTTCACTTGCCACAGCAATTTGGCGACACTGTTCTATCTATTGTTACTGTCTTCTCCAAAGGCTCTCGTGGTATCATATGTCTATTAGAACTGGGCAACAAAAGGGTAAAAGCATGAAGTGAATTCAAGGCTTGACTAAAACACTTATACAGGCTTGTGTTGGGCCACTGGTGACCCTGACTAAGAAAGGTCAGTCTCTTGATACAATTACTGATGTTGTGGTCGCCCTGTAAAAGGGGAACGTCAAGAGGGCAAATCACTATTTTGCTAATGGGCGTTTCCTTCTCTGTAGGGTGGAGATGTGCCAAAAGGTTCTGGCCGCAAAAAGAAACCCCTTGTGTACCTACAGCGCTGGATGCGCACGGATCGAGCGGTCGTCATGCAGCTCAGCTGCTCCATGCTTCAGGTGAGTTCACTCCATAATTTTAAGATGAGTGTCTGTACAGACTTGCGTGATGTATGCATGTGCACAGCCCTCGTGCTTTCTTTTTCTGGTGATGTGGAGGTTTAGTTTGTATGCTTGTTTTAGCAATTAATCAAAAATACTTGCTGGTGGAGTGTGTGTGTGCCAATAATCAGTGCATATCGCATGCGAACATTTTTTTTTCTTTGTCGAATTTTCGACTAATATTTGACCGTACTACAGGCAACAGGCCGTTATGTTTTAATTACTATTACAGAATTGAACACACTACACTGTGACATACCGCCAGGGAGAGCAAACACGACCGTCTGCTCTTTATGCGCTGCCTTGGCATGTGCTCTTACGAATATATTGCCCGATTCTGGCACCTCTAGCTGCGTGGAATTTGTCAAAGTACTGTAGACTCTTTGATAATTCAAACGAATCTTATATTTTTGGTTGACCCGCTATGTTTTCAATTTATTTTAGAGCAGCTTGATTCAAACTGCCCACTGCACAATATTCAGCCAACTCATTTGCTTGCCCATCGATAGTCAAATCTCGTTCAATGAAATTGGTGGGACACATGAAAATGTTGCAAAATATTGTTGCAGCCCAATTTCATGCATAGACCACAGAAGTTAGGAAGGTATAATGATAATGACTGTTCCTTTGGTTCCATAAAGCGCATGCAGTATGGTTTGCATTTAATTCTTGCTAACTCAGACATACGTGACTGCACACTGAGTGAATGCATTTTCTCCTATACAACATGCACAAAATACGCAGAAAACTTGGAGCTAAACTCTAAATGTAGGTTTTATGCATATTTGGTATGCAAGGTGGTTTCACGGCGGGCATTTACAGTAGTGCAAGAAAGCCAGCTTTGTGTCAATGCACAAGCATATATTTTTTACTAATATCCCGCTGTTTGTAGGGGGTGGAAGGCCTGCTATATGCAGGGGTAGGGGACACATGAGCAAGTACAATAATCAAGCTACCCTTGAAGCGCACTGAGTGGGCAGCGCCGTGAGTCAGTGCGACAAAGCTTCACGAAGGGCAACAGAGAACTAAGCATCAAAGCTCCACACTGTGTCGTTTCACGACTTTATTGCCTCTAATCTCCCGATGTGCTAGCCACATACCTTCGGAGCTTATTTCCTATTGATGATCATGACAGTAGCAACCACAGTTTTCTGCAGAGCAGTTGTGGCAAACGTTAGTTCTGTTTTCAGTCTCTGCGCGCTGGCTGTTTGTGTGCCTTCAGAACTTCGTTGTTGCTATTTGTGATCACATTTACCACAGTTTTGTCCGCAGCCTTCCTTTGCGTCAGTGCATGTACGTTAAGACGTGCACGTACTTTCTTGGTCACCCATAAACGTGTGGACACGGCTGCTCTTGTGTTCACAGCAGTTGCAGCAGATGGACTGGGTGCATGCTTGCCGTGCCTATGCCTCATAATACTCTGGTTGTCATTCTGGATTGCAAGGCCAGTGACGATGATGAGTTTCGTTTTAAGCTCTACGTCAAAAACATGGCGGGGGTTTTTGAAAAACGATTCTACCATGGCCCGCACATGCATCATATCCGCCCAAATAATTGTGGTGGGTGGATGATCTGTGGTTGCGGAGGTTGTCATGCAGCCACATGGGTATAATAACGAGAAATTGTCCAGTTACAAGTGGTATTTTGGAGTGATCCTCGGCGAGGGGGGGGGGGGGGGCACTTTTTTTTATGTGGTAGCACTCGCAGAAACCTTGTTGCTGTGAAAGTACCCAGAAAAAGTGTTCATTGTAACGAGTAATTTTTTGCAGTGTTCTCTATGGGTGACTGATGTTGTGGTGGAAATTTCGTGGCAGCGGTATTCGTTGCAGCAAGATTCGACTTAGTGCCTTTGTTTCTTCTAGCTGAACACCTGCATTTTTACGGAAGAAACTGACACAAATGAAGATTGCCTGTCTGCAAAACAGCTGAGCTAGCTGCACACTGACTGAGCAAAGAAAGAGAAAACAAAGCCACAGATTCGGCACAAGGTCTAAGCAATGAATGCGATAACAACACATCGGGTTGTTACACGAACTAAGGCTAGGAGATTTAGGAACCATACAAAATGTAGTGAACGTGGTTGATTGTGTTGAATAGACAGTAACGCAGTAACCACAATATCTAAGCAGGTGTTGTGAATAGTTGACTGCATGACGTCAGACAGGTGGCGAAGTACAAATTCGGCATCAAGAAATGCGACAAGCCACTGGTTTTCATGTCAAAGTACATTAACGGTGAAGTCTCCAGTGACTATCACCGGCACATCCTGTGTGCTCACCACATGGAAGTTGTGCAGCAAGAAGTTCGTCGACTCGCCAGGTTCATGGTGAGATGTGGACTGTTGTGATGACGAAGCCATGCGATGATTTAGTGGCGCAAGCGTCACCACAACTCATGCAGGACAGTGAGTTGAGTTTGTTCCTCTAAAGTGATAGTGGTGGTTGGCAATTCGATGGGAACCGAATTTACAGGCACGACAGGACCAGAAACTTTCATTTTGGAATGCCCCTTTCACCCAAATGTATGCGTTTCAGTGAACTCACCTTTCCATTGATCAAGCCATTGAACATTTCAATGTTTAGGGAAAGCACGTATGACTTGTCCGAACAAAGTACATGTTTTATTCAAGAATGTTTCTTATAAATACATTGACAGTAAGCTAGCGGCAAATGATGCATATACGTAGCTCACTGTTTTGTGCGATGGGCTGTATGAGCGATGTGGTCTTGTTGGGAAAGCATGTATGACTTTCCCATCAACCAGTAAAAGATATCAAAAGAAAATTTCCACGGCACCCGCCGGAGATTCAAACCAGTGACCCTTCGCTCCTCAGCGCAGCGTGCGCTGAGAAGCGAGAGGACACTAGTTCGAATCTCCGGCGGGTGCCGTGGAAATTTTCTTTTGATATCTTTTTCTTTGTGCATTTTCTATATATATACACTATTTATGTAGACTATTTGTATACCATTTGTATATTATGTATACTATTTATATATACTATTTTATGTATATATACTTATACATATTCGAGACATGACGGCGATGGCAAAAATCAGCTGAGAGTGTCCATATGTAATTTCTATCGCAATAAAACACTGAAGACGGCCTGGTCGTAGTTTATCGCATGCATCATTCGTCCTAAACTCGCTCATCGCAGTATTATGATGTCATGTGGTAAAGTGTTCTAAGATTCAGAAGAGGCATTCAGCTGTCACATTTCGTCCCTTAATTTCATACGCGTGCGCATGTTTTATAATAACGGCTATCAGTATGACAGCTGATGTCTAAATACTTTATTGGCAATCATGCAGAGCTGTCTATGATGTTCTGACCCTGAAAAACAATAAGAACCACTATGCAAGTGGTTATGCTGGCCTGAGTCATATTTGCGACAACTTCTTATAAATCAAACAAAATCTTGAAATTCCCTGGAATTGGGGGCAACATAAGAACGCACCGGCATCGCTTCCTGAAATGCGTATGAATATCAACTGGTGAAAATAGACACGCTCTCTTGACTGATGTCATTATCCCGATTGCCGGTGACTCCGTCGCCTGTATGTCTTCTGTATGTGTGTGCCAGCCTGCTACAAGCTCTGCAACTGGAATGCAAAAAAAGGCTTTTATCACTAAGGAAGTATTCAAGACAGAACAGAAAAGGTCATCAAGAATGCACTCTTTTTGTTCTGTCTTCTGTCCTTCCTTGAAGGTAAGAATCATTTTTGTATTTCACTAAGCGTGTACCAACTAGCCGAGACACAAATTTTTCTCTATAACTGGACTTCGGACTGATTTCGCAGGTCAACTTCTTTGGGGATCACACTAAGCTGGTGCTGAGCGCTGAGCGAACAGAGCGCCCCCTGGTCCTTTACATCGATGAGCGGCGACGCACGGTGGCCTACACCCTGGCCGCCATCGCCCGCTTCGGCTGCGACGAGGCCCTTCAAGAGAGGCTACGCTTCGCTCTGGGTGCTCTGCAGGAGTTCGCCGAGCTGGAGCAGCGTGACCCACGCCGCAATGCCTGATGCAGTCAAAGTAAAGACACCGAATAGTTGGTAGTTTCGATGACCAAATGGCTGGCGCACCGCGACAAAGACCGAAGAGAGCCGATGTAGGCGCAAGCTGCCGCATCTGCGCGTACAATATTCTGCCTTTATAGTGGTGCTTTGTGAATTTGCCACCTGATGAGTAGTGTGCCTTTCAGCAATTAGTCAGAAAGCGCTTCTGTTATCCAGGTGTTATCAAAACTGGCCCTTCCTTCTTTTTTTTTTCTTCACATAAGGTTGTATCGCGTGTCCGGTGCTTTCACACAGGGGTCACGTTTCACAGAGTTAGGGTTGTGGTGAAGTTTCGATCAGAGTGATGTGCTTGTCGATTGTGTGTTGATTAAGCCTGCATCCGTATACTTCATCCACGGTGCCCCTTGTGCCACGCTTGAAGGAATGGTTTCTGAAAGAACAGGCTGTTGGGAGGGTATTGCAAGGTTGGCTTTTTACATTTAATGTCCAAGAAGGCATGTGCGCCGCGATTTGCGCTCTTTACAACTTGAATGACAGAACTTGCGGAGGACTTGCGAAGGTGCCTTACCAGAGAGCGCTTCTCTAGGGCTGTGAGCATCAATGCCAGTGCACAATGGCCAAAGGATAAAACGTATCTTGTTATGTGCATACCAACTTACTCATCTTGTTGAGCTCTCAGGGCAAATCTTTAGTCAAAGCAGCTAGGGGGCTTTCTTTTCGTCAGCTGCTTCATGGCGGGGTTGTAAGAAGTGCTGTGAAAATGCCTAGTTTCTTCCTGATTCGCGCAGCCCTAGCAACAGAGATGCAACATTAGTAGAAAAATGAAGAGACCACAATCATTGGGTGTCAGCGTTTGTAGTAGTGTCTGTGTGTCTTCTCTGTTGCATGGATAACACGAGTCAAGAAAGGCATCGTTGTAGTTTCCTAGTGACTGGGACTGTAGAAACAGCTGATGATGCAGATTTTCGTAACTGACTAAACGTCTAAACAGGAAAATATGCTCTTTCCTCCTGAGGCTGCTGCTGCATGCTAGGCACAGTCTTTCTTTTTGTCTTCCTTTTTGTGGGTTGAGAGGCACGGCTTCATGCGGATTTGTGCAAGTCGCTCGCACGCTAGATGCTGCCGTGCTCTGATGTGAAACTTGTTCCGGGTATCAGATTTCCACTCGAAATAAGGGCATGCTGTAAGGTTCTTGCCAATTCTGGCATCCTCCTTGAAATTAAAGAAATTGTTTTTAGTGTAATGCCGTTCGATTGTCGTTTCCATGAGCGTACGCTTGAGCTTGCGGATGATTTCGCCCATGCTTTCTCTTTAAGACAGTCTAAACAATTTTCAGGTGTGTAAAAGAGTCTGTGATTGGCTTAATGCAACAGCTCTAGTACATTTCATTTCTTATTCACGAGTAATTGGTCGTCCAATTGGCAGGTCGCTAGTAATACTATCATAATGTACAAAATATTTTTTGTACATGTTGCCAACATGCCAGCAATAACTTTTCTAGCTAGCAGAGCCACTGCAAGAGGATCGAATCGTGGAAGGGCGGACCGATACACGCTGTGTTATTAGGCAGTTTTTCCCCCGGCTCTTTGTACCTTTCTGGGTCAAAGCGAATGTGTGCCTGTTGTACTAACTGTGCAGCTGCAGCTTTCAGTCGTTCATTACAGTAAGGAGCAAAGGTCTCGAAACTGTTAATAACAGCGTGGCTGCGTCTTGGTTGTCTTTTTACCATTCCAAGCTGCTTTTTATACATTACCATTCAATTGTGAGTGCTGAACAAGCATCCTTCACTGATACCAATGGCAGGCTCGGAAAAGCAGCATGTAGTAGTCTCAACTGGTGACTACGACGTGCTGTGATGTCGGCCTATTAACAGGTCGGAGATATTTTGAGGCAAAAGAGAAAGCTGCTGCTAAGCAAGACAAGCTTTCAAAAATGTTGTGCCATTGTAATGAGCATATGTTAGCCATCACAAAAAGAAATGTGCTAAAATTTTCCAACTGCCTGTTGTACACTTTTTGCACATGTGCGCAGTCGTGTACAAATTGAACTTTTAATGTGCCAATTCAGTGATGTCAATTTGCTTTGGTGTGTAGAAATTGATATCTGTAATGTGCAATATTTTTTTTCCAAAAAAAAAGGTTCAAAAGTGTGTCCGTCACAATGAATATTTAAAGGCAATTTATTTTGGGCAGTGGGAGGGTCACAAAGGTTGTCAAAGTTCACTGCAATGAGAGTGTGGGAAACAGTGGCTCTATAATAATGTTGCTGTACATGAATGATTTCACTGTCTATGTGGACATAAGTGAATAGTGGTGATGTTGCCAAAAAAAGAAAAGGGGGGGGGGGCAATAATTTATTTACAATGTGTCTCAAGATCTTGAGAACCGTTTTGTCAATGCAGTTTTTTTTTTCTTTTTTTTATCAGCATAGGCAAAACTTTAGGTGCTGAAAAAAAAAACGCAAAAGTGGTCTCAACCAAAGGTCGTACTCATGCTTGCTGTGCAATTGCATACAGAAGGAATCCCGGCAAGCTTGTCCTTGCATTGTCCTGACACGGTTTAAATGCTCATGGTACAGCTTTTATTTTGCACCCACCTGCCCGAGTGTTAAAGTTTCCACAAATGCCAAGCACTCAGCTAATGCTCCCAGCATAGAGTTGCAACACTGTGTTATAAAAGAAAAAAAAAGTGCTTACCATTTTTTTTAAATGCAATTTACTTTTTGTATGACGTGGTTTTACGTGTAGCCTTTACAAACACTTACGTTTATTATACACTTCTTTTACACTAAAACTTACTTTACAAAATAAGTCACGAAATATCACCCATGCACTTTGCTCATCACATGACAGCATCTGCATAAATTAAAAGCATAATATTTTCTGCATAAGCGAACATAACCATTCACAGGCAACCGATGTGCAAAGTTTTCATTCCAATGACCTGTGTGTTGCACTGCGAGTTCACAATTTAACGAGATACTCACGTCGGAAAGGCATATTTTGTTTAAGTTCTAAACATGGAATCATCACTGTTGAAATGAATTCATATGAAGTCCTGTAATTTCACATTTGCCGCATTACACTTTGGAAATGAAAGGTTACATCTCTGTGTAACCTTTTGTGAGGATCGAGTTTTTTTTTCCCCGAATATAATGAGTTTTGTTGTGTTATAAGCATGGTGCCACTAACAGAGACATATGATAGTGACACTGCATTGGTATCAAAATGTTTTGAACATTTCCTATCTAGCCCGTCAGTTCGCTTGGGAAAAATTGTATAGTACGAGAACTGTATATCATTGTGGAGGTGCTCAAACCTGTAGTTCGAGGGAATGGGCAGATTTTTCTTAGATTGGATTGCCATTTGTATCGGGCTCAAAAAGTTAGGTGATATAATGAACTGTGTTATCTCGACGAGTGTGGTCGATCGGAGTGTTTCACAGCTGGTCATTTCCTCGCCTCGAAGGACACGTGCAACATGTCTAAGAAAAAGGATGATCGTAGTGCGGAAGCCCATTCTGACCTAGTCATGTCGCGGGCATGCCTAGCTGATGTGTTGCCAAAGAAGCCCTTCCTTGCGGCTTTCGTTCTTTGTTCGTTTGCGCTTGCACTCGCTGTATTGACTGCCTCGAGGAACCGTGGGCGTTGTTCCTACAATCTCCCGTGCCTCTGGTGGGAGAAAAGCATCGTCCGAAGAGCCACCTTCAGTTTGCCGTCAGTCAGTTGGCCACTCAAGTCGGTGTTTCTCTTCCAATGTGTGCATGTGTGTGAGGTTCAGCTAGCGAATTCTCCAAAAGCCAGTGACAAGGGCCCGAGACATTGCTCCTCGTGCTCCTTCTTCACCTTCACTACATGGAACTTAATTCCAAAGAGCATGCGCTTTCCCTCACGATTGGCTGGCTAATCGTGTAGGTGCATAGTTTGTTTTTGTGTGTGCATAATCTGGAGAACCTGGCTTCATTGCAAGCCAGCTGCAACAAAAGCAGGAATTTTTCGGTGGTATTCTCAAGCGATCTCAATTGAAGATACGATCACTGCCGAGTTTTGTGCGACTTTGCTAGGAGACTCCTCTGGCACTGTTGTGAAACATTTGTTGGGAACAGTTGGCCATACACCTTGACTAGCCAGTGCCGAGTAGCACAACGTTTCGCGAAGCTGATTGCATGCTTAGTAGTAATTAGTGAATTAGTCAAGGATATCACTCATTAACGGTCAAGTAACCGCATCGAATGCAAGGATGTTCGCCAACCACAAAAGGTGCACACAATTGTTGAAATGTGTGAGCCACTGTCGGCTCCAACGTGCAAACTTGCATGTTTAAGCTGACAGGGCTCGCAAATTTCACGTTGTTGGTTTTGGTGGCCATTGAAGGCATTCATGTGCGATTCGAAGCACGAGGGTCCCGATCATCGGGTTATAACTAACAAAAGATCGTCGATGTCGTGACGGGTGTGTGCAGGTATTGTGTAGGTCCGTACGATGGCAGTCAAGCTTGTCACGTAGCACACATTTTGCTGCATGATTTTTTTTTCTGCTTACCTGTGCATGTTGGCTGCGGTCATGGAAGGGCATTATGATAACCCAGCACTGCGCCTCAGCGTCACTTTGCCGCACACAACTGGGACATCTCATGTTAGGCCTAGTTGTTGTGACATATCTAGTACTCAAAGATTTTTGCATCTACTACACTCGCGCCTGTTTTCCATGTCACATTGGGATTTTGTTTAAAATCATATATGCTTAGTAGGTTAGTATGCCTCAGAGGCCACTGCCATTTTGTGTAGCTCTATTTTTAACCTAACTCTTTTGCTAGGTGTTGCCATTTCATTGAGACCTTTCCCCAGTTGGCATTCTCTATTTTCACCTTCCTGGTGTCTTATCCCACCTTTTTTTCCCCCCTCATGTCAATACTCTGTAGTCCTCGCCAGTTTCCTGCGCTATTTTTTGCAGGAACTGTTTTTGATGGACAAAATAATCACTGGTGACTTCGTCTTCAACTTGCCAGAGAGATAGCTGGCGTTTGTCTTCTTTGCAAACTGAAGGTCTTCCCACCTTTTTTCCACTGGAGATTGCGACTCCAGGTCAAACTTGTATTATTTGTGTGATGTTTCTTTACATTTTGGCTCGTGTTTGTATCTATCATGAATCCTTTCTGTGTTCGTTGCTTCCAATGTGTTGCTACGTACAATAAAATCAGTCTATTTTCACACAGAAAGTGTAAAGAGTATTTCATTTCATGCTGTGTCTGAGAAGCACGCCCTTTTTTGCAAGCAGAGACTGTGCAGTGACCTTCAAGTGCCCAGTAACTACAACAGAATCGTTCATGTGAAAGCCCAAGGCACATGATTCTCTGCACCGTGAGATTAACACGCGGACGCGTGAGCCTCTACCCCCCCTCTCTCTGTGGGGCAAAGTACGCGTGGGAGATGAATGCATCAGCACGCGCCGCCGCATTGTGACGATCTGGTGACGTGCGCTCATTGCACCATCTGAAAACACGATAGTTCCCCCGAAATCGCCATTGGCAATGGTAAGTGGTAGATGTAGCTTGCTGTTTCAACGTTGAAGGAGGTGCTCCTTCGTGGCTCATTGGCTAACGCCACGCACTCACAAGCAAAAGGCCAGCCGTTCGATTCCGCGTGCCAGAGTCTTTTTCTGGATTATTTTTTAGTTGTGTTTTCATATGTATAGGTACATATTCATATACGGTGAACACGGTGGTCACTGACGGCAGCAAAATCCAGCCAAGAGTGTCCTTATAGTTGCTATTGCAATGAAAAGGAACACTTTGCCTGGATTTCTGGCCGCGAGAGTATGCTTCTGTAAAATTTCTAAAGTGTCAATTGCAACTAGTCTAATTTATTAATTATATTAATGAACTAGTAATTCGTTATTTGAAGTATTATAACATAGAGGATGCTAATAGTGAGTTTGGTATTTCATTTGTTGTGTGCATAAAAATGCTATGCTTCACATAGAGCCCGCACAGGACTTCTGCCCATATCCACAATGTGAAACTCGGCATTTTTCAACACTGCTTCGTCGACAACGTACACAGTAATAGAACTCACTTAGAGTCTATGGGTCAAGTTTTCAGTGCTTGAATCAGAACTTTGAAGCATTAAGCTCAGGTTGTTATGTATGCGGTAATGTGGGGCAGTAATGATGCGGGAGCTGTGACTTGGTGGTCAAATACATATGAAATTGAGGAAGGCTCATGAAGTGAGAAGTGCATAGAATAAAAACTTCATTGCATCGAAATGAGAAAGCTGAATTCTAATGACTGTGTGTAAAATGCCCACTTGAAATTTTTAAAGAAATTTTTTTAAGAGAAATTTGCTTTGTTTAGGAGAAATTTGCTAAAATTTAAGATGTCTAACAAATTAGTGTGAACTTGAAGTCTTGACTCATCACCAGAGTCCCCCATCACCCAACTCTTTGAACTGTATATGTGACTGGCATCATAAAATGTGATAATATTCATAGATCACGTGTAGTTATACTTACGAGCATTTCGCGAATGTCATACTTGCAGCTTAGAGCTGTGTTTCGGAAAGGTGTGGCGATGTTGGTTACAGAGATCGTGGTAGGTGTGCTTAAAACTGCGATATCATTCTTTACTGTCAAGTTAGCACTCCTTTGGGTTTCACTGAAACACCAGTGATACAAAGGCAGATTTGTACAGAGAAATTGGAAATCTTAAAACACTAAGCACTTTAGAACGAAAGGAGGGGAATTCTAACCTGCCGGCAGCAAGTTATTTGTACACATTAATTTCTCATTTGTATCACAAATACCATCAAGCGCTTCAGAGCATTGTAAAAAATGATGTATGCAATTGAATAGCATGTTTTAGAGTTATCTATGCTTGTGCTGCAGTCTTGTGTTGTTGTGAACAATAGTTTCAACAGAGATAGCACCGTCTCTTCCGTGCAGATCGTGTTTTTGGAAACTTGTGATATAACAATCAGAGTTAAGGCTCAAGGCTAAACCTCTAGTAGTTAATATGCTTCAACAAAAAGTGCACTGCATTGTTACATTACCACAGAAACAGCATCATTGATGTCGTAAGCAAGGAATTTTCTTTCTGGGTGGAAAGAAGTTTTTTTTCTTGACTCTGGGCATCTTTTACATCTAGAACTTCATTCGCCAATGAAGGCTTTTGATCATGTCTGGATACACATGAATAAGCTCAAAATCACACCTGCTTGGACCGATCTTGGTTGGATTTTGCAAATGCGTGCTATAGTAAGTTACAGGGGTTAGAACATTTTCTTCAGGTGGTTTCAAAATTTCACACGGCCTTGTCACGCTTCTTCCATTAGAGTTTGCTAAAACTATCCAGAGGGGACTCTGGCGCTGCGATCGTTTAGCGACCGTGGGAATGATGGGTAGTGCACGGATTTGCCTAGTCTTCGTACTTGCGGCAGGCGAATCGCACTTGTACCTTAGTTTATTTTGCTGTCTTTCGCTTTTGTTTTGATTCGAAGGAAAGAACAAACCCTTTTGAACTTCGTGACCCGATCTGAAATGGTAAGCCTAAAAGATTAGGGTGGTAAAGCACAACCACTGAACATTTGTTGATGTTTGTTTTGTGAGAAAACAGCTCCTAAGCTAAGCGAACATACACAAAGCCAGAAGTACGAAGATTAGACAAATCTGTGTACTGCCCATCATTCCCATGGTCGCTGAAGCGCCATGTGTTGCAGCTCCCACTAGTCCCCTCTAGTGTATATTTAGGAAACTATATGCCTTCTTCACCATAAGGACTGAAAGGTGTAGCCCTCGTCACGACTCCGCCCACTTTGGCAATGTGAAATGCCGAGGGCATCCCCCAAATGAGCAGGTGTCATATCGGCGCAGAGTAGTAACCAATAGTAATTTGTCTTGCGTTTGGGTCTCCACACCACACAGTCTACTTCCTCCTGTATATAATGCAGTTATACAGATGATGTGGGCATGCAGTGTCAAAAATAAAATGCTTCGAAGACTTTCTGTATGGTGGCAAAATGTGCCCCTTTGGGTGCAAGGTTTTCTGACATGTAGCATATATGCAGAAATAGTTTCACGGGTGATCAGACATTATTTGGCCCGTGTTTACAGTCACAGTTTTCTATGAAATATACTTTTCTTTTTAAGGTAACCATAAGAAAGATATGTGAATTCAGTCTGCTTTCACAAGCTTCTCCCACACCTTAAAGTATACAGTAGGTTTGCACGAATAGAGAGTTTTAGGTTTCAAGCAAATTTGAAGCGAATAGCGATTTGGTTCAAATAATATTAAACTAAGAAAAATTAGCGTATTTGTCACAACACCACGAACCTACACATTTTTTTTAAACTAAAAGAAAACCACAGCAAACTTGTTTCAAAGGAAGAGGTACCAACTTTAAATAGTAGCAGGATTTGACTTTCAGTAGAATGCAAGTGCTAACCTGTAAAATGTGTTACACAAGTTACCATACTTATATAAGCCGATATAACAAGTATAATTCGTTAATTTAACCTTGAAGTGGGGCTTTGCGGCAGTGCATATTTCTGGACATTTTTACAGTTTAGCATCCCTCCACTGCAGTGAAACACCCTTTACAGCAGGCCTACAGGCGAATTATTATTCATTCGTTCACTTCGAATGCCTTGAAAATTGAGATCATTTAAATTTGAATCAAAGCCAATTTGAACATTTGAAATATTTGTTCGAATATTCACACAAGCCTAGTAAGCAATTTGTAAACCCAGTAAAGCAAACTCTCTGCACTTGTGCAATTACTGGCAATTAATGTGATGTCATCATATTGCCTTTTATAAAAATGGAATGTCGACATGGCATACGTATTGCACTTTGTGCTGTATGCAGCATTTCATTTGCTTGCTGGTTTGACTTTTCAAACAAAAACTCTTACAATTACTGTAACAGTTTGTTGCGCCACAAAGTGTCTCGTACACCGCAATATTGGTGGTGTAGATGGCTCTGCAATAACCGACAAAATCTCACTCTTCACAACACAGTAACCTTGAAATGTGTAAAAGCAATGCTTCCGGAATGCAATGAGAGACGAACATATTTAAGGGCCCATCAAAAATGAGAACTAGGCTAAGTAGTGTGCATCGATTGTGCTGAATGTGAAGAATCAATAGAAGCAGCTTTTGTCTTATGAAAGCTGCATATGCAACAAAATTGTGCATTGAGATCCATATTTTTAGAAACATTTTTTTTGCATGTGCATTAATTCGCAGCACTTAGAGCAGTTTCTTTTTAGTGTCCCTTTATATGTTAGGAGGTATTTGGCTGACTTCCAGCAGTGCATTGAGTCGGGCGTTGCTTTTAAGAAACCTTCACAACGCACACACCCACTAAAACACGTCAGCAGGAAGAACAGTCTTTTCCACTTGCTACAGAAACATGCCCATGTGCGCACATGGCAGTTTTATTTCCTAGGAAAAAAAAAACTTTTGCTTCCAAGCATTTTTTTTTTTTTTCGGGAATAACTACAAAATGCACTGCCACACGAAAAGGAGAAGCAGTCCAGACGATTGTTTGCACAGACTCCCTTTTGCACCTTGCAACCAAGCACACGTGCCGGCAAGGTCAAGAGCCGATGGCGAGGCACTTGTTCCACCTGGCGCATTTTTTCTTGTTTTTTTCCTTTGATGTTGCAACGAAGCACGGCTGTCTTGATGGTCAAAACGAGGCAGCGGGGGCCCCAACAGGCAAACGGCCCCTGCCGGCCCAACACAAAACTCTGTTCACCCGACGTAAAAGCACACGCGTCCAAAAAACCTCCATTCCAAACCCCAGGGACCAGAAGAGGCCACAGGGCCTGACGCACACACCCTCGATGGCACTGCTGCTTAATGGCACTTGGCAACCACATTACAACCTGTGCATTTTTTTCTACACCAAAACGAACGCCCAAGGGAAGAACTTAAAAGCAGTGGCAGGCACTGAAAAATTTGAAAAAAAAGTGTGACGATGAGTCGATGCATCTGCTTAGGAGAGGGCTCAACACAAGTGGCAGCAAACCCTGCATGCAAACCTAAACAAAAAAAGCTTGTGCCAACATGTTGCTGGCAAGTTTTATGCACCCAATATATTAATGAAATTGTGACATTGAATAACTTTTTTTTTTTACATCCAACAACAGAAACTTAGTCTATATTCCAGAGGGGGCACCAAAAATAACGAAAAAAAAAACTCATTTATAACACCCCCCTTACTCCTCCGCCACCTGGAGGTGATGGTGGAAGAAAAGATGTCCACGAGCACTGTTCATGACTAAAAAAAGAGGGGGAGGGAAGGCAATATGCAACGTGGCACTACATGTGCGCACACCACCTATCCACGTAGATCACAGGCCAAAAAGAATGTGCCTCCCTTATGTCCCCCCCTTCGTTATGCGACCCCTGGGTCACCAGTCTATATTTACATAAGGCAACATGTGAAGAAGGTCCCCCCCATATGAACGCCCTGTGGTCACTTCATGCCAGCCCCGCCACTGTCCCTCATGGTCGTACACTCCGTTGACAAATGGCCACTTCTGGGTCGCAAAGCGTTCCTCCACCTCGGGCGTCACCTCTAACGGCACAACTGGAACTTCCTCTTCTTCGAGCTCCACTTCCGGCCCGATTTCGGGCAGGGCGCTCAAGATGGCCGCCACCTCGCCCGACACCCCGCTTTTGGCGCTTGTGGGAGAGGCAGGGGACGGCCCGTTGGGGACCGATGACTTTAGGAAGCGGTCCATCAACTCTGACTTGGTGCGGCTCGTCTCGTCGTCTGTGCCCAGGAGGCTGTAGTTGCCAGAACGCTTGGGCCGCGAGGAAGAGGGCGGCGGCGTGGCTGACGCAGCGGCTGCCACCGCGGCGGCGGCTGCAGTGCCGCCATCTAGGCTGAGCCCACTCTTGGCTTTCAGGTCAGCTATGAGCTGCTGCGTTGTTTTGACCTTTGGCAGCCGTGGAGATGTCGTGCTGGTGCAGGCCATACGGTTTCGCACGGTCTCGAAGGCAGAGTTTCCGCTCGGGATGGGGTCCCAGGGATGCACACCGTTGGGCGGAGACCATGCCACTTTCTTTGCACTGTCTGCTGGAATAAAAAAAAATTGCCATTTTCCTTGTTAGTAATCAATGTGCAGCAAACATCGACAACATGCATGTCCCCTAGGAATGAAGCGCTGTGCGATGCAGGCATATTAAACAAAGTCCCACATGAATGAGACTGTGATCGATATAGTGATTCTTCAAAATACTAAATTTCCAGGCTACTCTGGCTACAGTAATAAATAGTACCTCATTTACATGCTTGCTCTCATGGAGTTCGAGAGTAATAAGCAGAACGGAACATCACAAGTTCTTAATTCCTGAATAAAAAAGAAAGACATTAAAACGAAAATTTTAGCTACTGTCAAACTGTCATTCTAGATAAAAACACTGGTGCCAAGAAACCTAAAAAGAGATGTGGGCGTCAGGAATGCATCGAATATATTTTAAATACCACCTTAAAAGATACTTTCAATTGCGATGTAGAGGGGCAGCTTGTCAGTGACGTGTTATTGCACTGTAGCATCATGGGGATACAGCAACTCTCGACTTACAAGTGGCAGATCTGCCATCAGCTCGAGGTGCATGGAAACGAGTCAATTTTCACACAGTGACTCTACAGTGATTTCTGCGTTCTGAATGCAGGACGCAGGGATTGCAATCTCAGTGGACCTGTTTCCCTTTTACTTTGCGGGTCTCCGCAAAACTCCTTTGCGTTGTCAGTGGAGCTCTGTTGACAAGTAGAGATGAGGTCCACTACAGTGGGGCTGGCTTGCCGATTGCTCAGCGAGAAAAACTTCCAGATCAAAGCAAGATTTCTTTTTTACATGTCCAACTCCGGCATGTGGGGAGCGCTGACCTTCAATACCAGAATGCGGAATATCCTTTTTACAATGCCTCAAAATCATGCCCGTAAACCCTTAAGTAGGTACGGTCAACACAATAATCTTTCTGAGAGTTACTGGCCAAATGTAACTGCGTGTTGTGGACCTAATGAAGCGGCTACGGGACTAAGATGTAAGGCATGCCTTTGTTTTAATATGCAACTAATATGTGCTGAAGAGAAGCTAGAAGGTAATGAAGAACTGACCAAAAGAACCAGCACGTAGAAGGAAGACAGTGTGCAAGAGAAACTGGGTAAGACCTAGTCCATGATCAACATGCCAGAAGTGGTCCATAGAGTAGCGAGGTGGATGCAACCATGCTTAACTCAAAACCGAAAATTCGGACACTACACAGCATGCTGTTTAACTTTTCGGATTCAAGCTGGCTGATTGAGAGTGATGATGAGCGCCACGACAAGCTGATTACAATGTTTCCAATATTTCTGCTAGGTTGCTAGCACTGAAAGGTTGCACTGGCTATGGCTGGAGCTTGTGCCAGTGTTAACATCCACGCATAAATTACAATTTATAATCTCGAAGGCTCTGTCTGTTGGCTTTCAGTCGCCTTTTGGTTTCAGCCAGCCGAGCATTCATGGCCAAACCACAAGCCAAGACAATGTCCGAGTCAGCTTTGTGTGCTGTACCGGGCGTACAGCAGAGAGACAGAACTACCTACACTACGACAGAACTACCGAACCCGAAATTGTCCTGTTTAGGTGTTAGAGTTTGCATGGTCATTTGTTTCTACAGTTAGGCCTGATCAGTCTCTCATGCTTTTTGTCTGGCTCTCGTTTGTTGCTTGACGTGCAAGACCTGATCTGCTGAAAATTGGCTCCGGCGCCACCTGATCCATCTGTGCTGTGAAGGAAAGCGGCGGCTACAAGATATTGATGATGGCGAAGAAAGCCGCAATTATTCACCAGGTCAAAGGCGGCTGACCTCATTACGATGTTGCTCAGGGTTTCTCGCAGAGTTTGACAATGATGCAATCGTCTGTCAGGTCCTCAAACTGGCGCAGGTGGACAGCGACTCCGGTAAAGCGCAGACCCCACCACCGTTTCAAATGCGGATTTAGCAATGGCCGTGACAACTAACAGTAGTGACCATGCACTGGCTGAAATACGGGCTGACTTGGTCGTCTGTGAGTGTGTGTGTGCAGATGTACATAACCCAATTTTTCCAGTTACCGGGCGCCTTTAACTAAAGGCACCTTTAGTTTCTTTTCGGACTCTCGGTTGTTCGGACTTCTGGTGGTCGCTGCAGAGTCCAAATAAACTGCCTGCGACTGTATCGCGTGCCTGTCAAGTACACTAGGACGGGCAAACTGCATTAGGGGGACACTCATTTCGCTCCCACACTGCAAGTACTGCACATAGATATTTGCAGCAGCTTTGGTACTTCGTAAGAAAATGATCAAAGCGCTGCTTGATAGTATGATTGAAGACTAAAAACAAGTTCAAACCCAGTCTCGCCTAGCGGTTTACCGATAAGCAATATGAAGATACAAATAGGCCGATTGATAAGTGACCCATGTTCACATGAACAAAGTTTTATACCCCTCCATGTATCTTCATAGTGAGGGCCTCACATTAATTGCTTAGGTCTGAAAAGGTAGCATATGAGCGTTTGAAAAGGTAGCATATGAGCTGACAGAACCAGCAGAACTCTTTCTGTGCACCACTTGAGATGCTGAGTCATTATGGGCCTGCCAGCTTGCAGGCAATTGTGGACAGATGCACCTGGCTAAGTCCAGGCCACGAACAGCATGCCACTCACGCACTCCTGTGTCCTTCCCTCAACTTATGTTGGCGACACCAATTGCCAAGGCCATCACAATTATAAAGACCATCCATGCAACACACACACACAAATTTTGAAGAAAAAAAAAGCTGAGGAATGCAATAACTGAATGCCAGAGCATCATGAATTATGTGGACGATGAAAGCTCACCTATCACATGCAGCAAGTAGTTTTTTCATTTTATTACCACATCAGTTTCTCCGCTTTCAAAACTAACTTATAAATTTCTTTAAACATTATTCAACTCCATTGCCCAATTTTTGCATCAGTACGAAAGAAACGGGCATCGCGGAGCTCTCTAAAAAAGTGACAAGTGAGTGTGAAGCGCTTGCACATGGGGCTCTGCAGCGTTCTAGTTGGCTGCTGCTATACTGGTGTAAATATTCATTAAATCGACGTCTCTCCTCAATTACATCTGGTGCAGGTTCGGGGTATTGATCCCCATATCTCTCGTTCTTAAGCACAAAGACAGTTCTCCCTTACCCGGTCCATCTGAGGATGCGACAGATTTCCTGAGTCGTTTGTTGGCTACATTGTTCTTCGCAACCGGCTCCATGGGCGGGGGACTGCGTGGGTGCGGGTGGGCCAGCGGTGAGCCTGGGGAGCATGGCGCCGAAGGGCAGCATGCAGGACTAACGGGCTTGAAGCCACCATTACGGCGAGGCCCAAGGCCGGGGCCCGCACCCGCCGTAGTCACGGCTGCAGCAGCTGCCAGAAGCGACGGTGGCACAGGGCTGTTGGATACACTTGAACAGCTAGGACTACGACGTGGGCCCGACAGCAGGCCGGGTCCCGGTCCGGGCCCAATGCCCGGACCGGGACCCGGCCCCACAACGACTGGCGGACCCCCCCCATTGGGAGTCTGCTGCTGGTCGCAGGGCAGCAGGCGCCGCCAGCTTTTCACCAACTCCTTCGCCCGCCGGGCCAAGGAGTCATTGCTTGTGCGCTTGCGCAGCTCGTTGATGTACTTCCCAAGGCGCGTACGCTCCAGCGTGTCCTTGGTGATGGGCGTACGCTCCAGCATGCCGATGACCTCGATGACTGCAGCCATGTCGACCACCTGCAACACATACGAGCAATGTTTAATGTCGTGTAGTTGACGAAACAATACCAACCAAGACAGGTACCACCTCATCGGTGGTACGGCTGTCCAGAAACACAATAACGAAAAGTACTCCATTAGAATAAATAGTGATCATGTGCGTGTCTGCTCGTCTTAGTCCCCTGTCTGGGTTGCACTGCCCTATACGGCAGATGTATTTTCAATTATCAAGTCGCCCAGCTTGTTAAATCAAGTATTGACTGTTGGGCTGGTTGGTTTTGCATTACTGAAGTAAATTGGTACAAACTGATCGAAGAACAGAAGACAAGCAATAGCAGGGATGGGTTATGTATAGACATGTCTTGTATTCCCTGCAGATGTGTGACTATAGGGTATCTATGTGGAATCTTACACTGCTCTCAAACAGTCAAGTGCAGAGCTTGTGTGTGCCACCTTTCTTTGCGCTAATTGTCTTTTCTTCCGATAACATACCTTTCCAGTAATACAAAAGTGAAATCTACCCCAATGTCTGGCCAAGACCATATCGCAGTTTTTCACAGGGCATAGCTGCTTATATTATGCAAATACACTGTCAATACAACCAGAAGCTAAAGGCAGCATCAATGATGGTAATCAACTCCGTCACAGCTTCTCTGTGGTGGCTTTGGTGAATGGGTACCATAGCTTTACTCGCGATGATTATCACGGGCAGCAGTGCAGACTTCATTCGGTTCCTTTCAGCACCCACTTGCTTGATACTCACTGCTCTAAATAGCATACCCACTCTAAAAAGCAGTAGACTGCCCACTTGCATGAGATATATCCTGCATTAATTCAGAGAGCCCCTGGGACCAGTCTGCTCCTATTCAAGGCCATAATGAAACTCCAGCATACGAAAATAGTCAAGACAGGACGAAGTGTTAATTTGGGGATAACGGCAATCAGTTGAAGATCCCATAAGACTCATGTCAATTACCAAAGGCAATTGCAAGAAAATTGCAATGCACGGAATATAATGCTAGTGAAGTAACACAGGATGTTGCAATCAGTGAGTATTCAATAGGCCATTTACTGTTTTATAAGAAAAAAGACAATGCTTTGTGCCCCATTTGCCCCAAGACATTCAGAGCCAAGTGCTGTTCAAAGCCTATCACTGGCTCCCCAAATGACCCCACGGCTGACCAGAGACACCCCTTTTTCCTAGCCATTCCAGACATTCAAGTTTGGATTTTTTTCTCTTTTAAAGCAAGCCGAGACAAAGTGCTGATGGTTCCAGCAGAGCACAAGCTTTCCTGCTGAGTGTTAACTAAACTTAATTTACTTTTCATGGTCATCTACAAACTCTGGGCACAAACACAGAGCTGCTATTGAAACTACTGACTCTGAGGTCATATAAATAGTAGATTGTTAATTTTTCTTTGTTTCAATGCAAGAGCAGTTTCACTGCATAGCATTCAATCATGCCTTCACAAGCCATCACCGGGATCATTCTCATGGCCACTAAGCATTTGGCCATTGTGTTTATATTTGACATTGAATAGCACAATAGAATCTAAGTCACATTGTGCACGTTACCCTGCCATTCTGGAACACATCCGTGCCAGACGTATCATTGGCCAAATTAATGCCTACAGTATGATGAAGGGCTTCACACAAGTTTCAACTGTCTCTCAGTACTGACGGTTCAACCATTGTGCTAATAAACTAACACAAGCACACCACCAAAACATCTATGTTCATCTGTAATGCATATATTGCTACTGTTGTACCTCAGCCGCTGCATTTATGAACATGCAAATTTGATCCCGTACCAGCAAACACTGTGAAACATGAGCATTTCTAAGCTAATGACACTGAAAATCATTACTACGGCGCTGAAGTCCCCAAAGAAGAGAACACCCGCTGGGGAGGTGAGGTGCAACAATGCAACGGGGAGAAACAGTAGTAGCCCAAGAATAAATGAAGCATTCAGAACAGGCAGGCAAGGCAGCTCACTCAGGATATTTACAAATGACAGTTACAACAGGTGGCAAAATATTTTGACCACGAGTGATTACCTAAAGAATGCAGACTTGTTCTGAACAACAGAAAGATGAACTTCACCAAAGAATACGTCAAGGAACACTAGTCAAAAGTCAAATGTTGAGAGGAGAGATAACAGTAATGACCTTAGAATATTTACATTCCATGTGGAAGTGTTAAAAAGGGAAAAGGCTTCACAGAAAACAGAATGCAATATCATAGCAATAGCATAGACATTTCAATGGAGTTCTAGGGTAATATATTAGGCCTTATTTAATGCCCACACTCTTTTATGCACGAGCTTACTTTGCTGCTATAACAATCAAGCATGCAACTTACAGAGTATGATGACGTACTGTAACTTTTTCCTACTTATATTTCTCACGGTAGGCTTACAAACAAGACAACGATATCTGAAGCTGGTTCCAATTAGTCAACCGTTTGCAACATATCTGACCTAATTGAGTCATTTGTGCCGTGATGGACAACTGCACAGAAAGTTGCTTCGTCTGCACGTATCAATTTACTGGAGTCGAAAACAACCCGTTTCGAAAGGGCGTGCCATCGTTTACAACCACGTCCCGACGAGAGCCAAGCTGTGCTGCTTTTCACATAATGGAAGGCGAATGAAAGTCGTCGCATAGGGGAAAGAAAAAAAACACAGGAAGTAGCTGGGGTATTGCCTCTGCAAAAGCTGATGGCCATTTGATGAAGTAAATAGTTCACAAACCCTTTACACCGAGAGCAAGCAGCTGTGCACGCTTTGCTGGTGTTTCGCTTCTTCAACCTATTTTGAGAGGAAACTAACATTCACTAGTTATTTCTTCTGGCAAATGGGTCTCTCTTGCTTATTGGCCAGATCTTTTCACTTTCATGATACAAATGTCCCTGCGCGCACTGTTCTGTAAGTGGCTCATACGCACGGTTCTGTCCCACATGGGTACAATAAACCAGACTGCAACGCTTATGGATAGGAGAGATACTGGCTCTCAACTATTTCTATGCAAATTTCGCTGCCTTCGAAGAAAAATCAACTACCCTGGAAAGTGCAAACTGGAATTCACCTCCACAAGACCGAACCTTTCTACAACTCGGCAAGCAGTGACCTCTTTCAAGACAATTCCAGCTGTAGAAAGGTAATAACCTTATGTCGTTTTCGAAACGTGCATCTAATACACGCCTCGGAAATCTTAGGCTGCCCAGACTCAACACATGCAAGACCAAGCTTTTCTGACACAAATGAAACGACAGTCTGCATGGACGCGGTGAAAATTTGGCTATGCCTCTTTATGTGATGCGTGTTTTCCTATTCACAAATACCTCCACACTGAAACGCAGGACAACTAGGCAGGCACAGCATAGGAACAGATTTCACGCACCGATACATTTCCCTGCTGCGTACATTAAGAACAACGTGTAAAAGTTAGTGTTACCAGTTACGGGGTGGGTTAGAGTATGCTCAGGTGTGGATGTTAGTCGCGAACGCATCACGCGTTTTGAGAGCTGCGCTGTAGCGTGAAACGCAGTTCCGAAGATATTTGCGAAACGCACAAGCGGTGGTACAGGTGTTACATGAAAAAAAAAAAAAAGCAGAAACGGCGGCTGCTTGCTCTCGGAGCACAATTTATGCAGACCATGCAGTTTGCACAGGCATCGCCCGACGCACCTTCACAACAACGTGAACTGCGACAACAGACGTTGAAATAAAAAAAAGTCGGGCGCGTTCGCAGCAATCTGTTACAACGGCGGACATGCAGTCTCAGTGCAGGAAGCGGCGCCGTCGCCAGGGCCATTTCACGGGTTCGGAGCATCAGGCAGGACGCACCAGGCTGACACTGTTCTAGACCATGCGCCACAAGGAAATCCGCAGCGAACAGACACCGAAAGAGACCTAGGCCGCCCGTAGGAGCGTGACAGACGCAAACTTTTTTTTTCGCAGCGCGCCGGCACGGATACGCAGGCACAAAAGCGAGAAAGGTTCGCGCAACCGCGTTTGCAAAGGGCGGCCTGCCGGCGCAGTCACATCGACTGAAAGAAAAAACAAAAAAACGCGCCGCTGCTAGAGCCCCGGATCGCATCGTGCCAACAAAGCGTTCACGAGTCTGAGCGGCCCCGACCACAGGAGGGAATAAAACGACGGTTAGGCTTAGATACCTCCTGTGCAACCACAAGAGAGCGTTTTAGTTGTAAAACCCGCCACGAACTGCACCTACGGCGCATGACTCGTGACGTTTCAAGGGGCCGACGAGAACGGCACACCAGAGCCGATGTCTGCGGCCGCCGGCGCGTCATCGGCGATGCCAAGCCCCGGTGCGCCGCACGGCTCGGCGAGGACAACGCCGAACGGGAAGCACCGCGGCCGGCTCGCTACCCGACGCGCCACCGGAGGCACGAAATCGGCTCTAGGCCTAACCGCTCGTGTATAGCGCCAGCCGTGTTTAGTAGCCGCCCGCAGGTTACGCTAGCGTTTTGGCCAGGCACCGCTGTCTTTTTTCCGGGGCTCTGCCAGCGGCGACGCTTGCACATACCGCGGAGAGGCAACCAAAAGAAGGGACGAAACGTGCGGGGCTTACATTGTTGTCCTCGTCTAATGCTTTCAACAACTTATCCTTAATTTCGAAGGGCGAGCACTGCATCAGGCCGTACAACAAAAACTTCGCTGCGACCCAGTAGGCCAACTCGGTGACCGTCTCGCCAGCCACTGGCACAGTATGGCGGACATGCACAGTGTACTGAGCATGCTGGGATCGGTGTGCCGCGCGTGACGTCACGGCCTTCCGAAGCCGCTCCTCTCCGGCGGCGCCGCCGACTACCCGCCGACTCTCCCCGAAAATCTATGCCGGAGGGAGCCCGACAGGAAACGCGCTGCCGAATACGCGCCGGCGTCGCCATCTGGGCACAGTTACTCGAAGCAACCACTCCCAACGCTTTTTGTCTTGCGAAGGCGTTTACGTAGAATACCGCAAGGCGACGCGGCAAACGCAATTCTGCAAACATTTCCGCGAACTAATAGCGCATTTCTTTTATTCCCTAGCAAGAACCGTAACGAGTTTGTCTGAAGGTAACAGATGAATTTTGCGTTAACTTTAATGAAGGTCAAGATGAAGTATCTTTGTGATTACGGTGCACGAACGGCGTTAAAGCCGTCACACTTTACCGATAGATGGGGCTACCGTTTCAAGAGCGTTTTGCTATTTCGCTTTTTTGGCATTTCCCGCATGTATGGCCTGGCCGCCGCCCCGTGCCATCGTACTTTCTCTCTTGTTCGCCTCGCCCAGGTCAGGGCGTTGTGCGCAATGTGGAAAACGAAGAGATCGTTCGGTCGCGTCGCACACGTATGCGCCAGCATTGCAGAGAGAAATAAAGCGTTTGAAACGTGAACGGAGTGACATTCCGACGTTCACGACGTTTGGCATGACCACAGAATGCCTTTCATTATACCTTTTTTTTTTATTATTCCTTAAAATACCACGTCGACCGGAACTGTTCGCTAGATTCGAAGCCCGATTCGTACTTGAACTAGTTCACCACTGTAAGCAATAGTGGAGAATGCAGCGAGTCTTTCTTCAATGTGATACCAGTGTCACACGGTCAGTTTTGATAGCCATCGGGCCTGATCCGGATCGAGTACCTTGATCGTAATGGGTACACTCTCGCAAGCTGCCGAAGGGAGCAAATCCCTACTGAAAAGTATCATACCGATTGGACTAATCGCCATCCTAACACCAGCATGAGCGAAAGCTAGATCTTCATTGAACTGCGCGAGGCCGAGTCGAACCGGACATTTATCTTTAGTCGTAGTAAACGTATCTGCTAACGCACAAAACACGTGTAGCACTACGCCAACTACGCGCTCTGCCGCACGTCAAAGCACGAGCCAAGGACGTAGCAGAGCTTGTAGGGCGGGCCAGAGAACACCTAGGGCGGGTCTCGACTCTGTTCACGCGTTGACCCGATGATGACGCCGCAGCCTGGCAGGCGAGCAGGCTTCGCTAGCGACCTCTCGCCGCCGGCACGCGCGACGTCGACTGCAGAGCAACTTGCATTGCTCCGTTTTGGTTTTGCTTCCGGTGACTCATTCGGTGGGGGCGATCAAGTTATCCATCCGTGTGCTGCCCACGTGCAATATGACAATGGTCAGTGAACTCGCGCATTTGTAAGCCTGTCGTCAGCGTTTAAGTGTTCTCCTGAAACGCCAAACAGCAGCGGGCGTTGCCGATGGCTGCCAGCTGCAAAATCGGGACCGCCGATTGCGTCGCAGGTTAGAAAAGCGAAACTATGCTTGCGAAATGAAGCGTCACTGATGTTCAAGTGCCTTAATTTTTTTCGTTTTGCAGTCGCTGTGTCGGTGTCGAGCATCTGCAAGTACGTGAACAAAGCGTGCGAGAGATCGCCCTGCTTGCGCGACGGGGAGGCGGCGTATGAAGCCGGCGACGTTATCGAGTGCTTCGTGGAAGCGATCCGCGCCGGCCGCGTCAACATCCGTGCACGGGTTCTGCACCCCAGCGACCCCCTCAGCCCACCTCACAGGGTTGCGGTGACGCTCGAACAAAACGATGTGACAGAGGCCCTTTGCACTTGCAAAGCAGGGTAAGACGTACGTAACATAGGGGAAAAAAAAGGCAGTTTGTGCGGATTGGTATCCCACGACGTCCTGAGTGTTTAGCGTTAATGGGATTAAAAGGAAACAAGGGAAAAGGTAGACGTCTTGCCTTCTCATCTATCCCTGCATTTGTTTCTTTTTATTCTGAGTTGCGCGAAACACTCAGATAAAGCCTTTCAATAACAAACTCCGGCTGAAACCTGAAACCACTTAACGCCATTCCATAAGATTCATGTGCTACCAGGAAATCAAACGATACAAGTTTGGCGTAGGTCTTCTGTGACAGCAGTGTAGCTGTGCTGCAATTTGGCAATAATTGGATTCCAATGGAGGGTGTTTCTGGTGCATTCCCGACGTGTAACACATGTCGCGGCGCAATTGATGTGATTGGCGCTTGGGGCGTGCCTTTGCATTCCCAAGTGTTGCGGCAAATTGAGTTCATCGTGTACACGAAAGTGGCTGAGAAGCTAATTAGCTGATGCCCGTAGTACAGATTCACTAATGTTGTGGGCTACAGGCTGATCTGACAAAGTTGTTACGCAATGGACACATTTTGGGGTTGAAATTGAGCAGGCGGTCCAGTAAGTTGCCTACAAGAGCCCTTGCACCATATTCAGCGTGCATCTCTTGAAAGTATGCCAGGCTTTTGCTTGAGGACTGGGAATATTCACATTTGGAGTCTGGTGAGAAACGGTCCTGTAGCTAATCAAAGCATAGCAAACGAGTTGCTCAAATTGGCACAGTGTACAATTAAAAAAAGCTGAATAGACTACAGAGGATATAGGATGACAAGTATTTGTATGTGTAATTATTATAATTACCAACTTCAAAGCTTCTGTGTTATTTCACACAATGGATAACAGCCAACTTAGCATACGTTTTGGCTATGGAAATATTAGTATTTGTTTTGCCTAACTGCATCGAACATATGGAAAATAAATTGCTGGCTCTGTCTGCCATAAGTGGCCCTTGTGCAGTGAACTAACCATTCATCAGCACTTAGTGTATGTACACAGATTTGTGAAGAGGTTTTAGCTTATTCGCTATTGAAGTCAAGTTGGGGACACACTGTGAGGAAAACATAAGGCATTGCAGTGATGATATGTGGGCTTCAGTATCACAAGAGCCATGGTTGGTCAAAGAGTACCAGGAGAGATAATGGAATGTTAACAGTGATCAGTAAGGCAGTAGACTTGTTAATAATCATACACCCTATCAATTTGCTCTATGTACAGTACGGTTCACTGTTAAAGGGAACACTCGAATGAACACCATCAATATTGCTGGCCATCTAACAGCAAGTGGAAAAAAGAAACAATCTTAATGTACAACACTAGTCTGTCGGGGGGAGATAGAATGCTCGACCACCACAAGCCTTAAGCAAATCTAAGCCACTATGCTTCTGTGAGATAGCAAAAAGGAAATGTGCTGTGCACGCAGCTGTTCCCTTTAACAGTGGACCCGTCTGTACATGGGAGAAAAGTGTGTGTATGCATTCTGTAACACACACCAATAATGTGTCTTTTCGATGCAGTTTCAACCATTTAATAAGCTCTTGATGTGGATCTTAATACGGCTGTGCTGTTCACTTCTAATACCTCTAATGTTCCGGCGCGAGGCCTTTGTGAAGGCTGTTTTATATTTATTATGGGTAATACTATGCGGCCTAAAAAAGCACTCTGAGAGAGCTTTGAAGAGATGTGCATTTCTACAAAGATATGTAACTATTAATTTTAGGGTTATTTGCACGACAAGGAATGTTTCAAGAAGACACCAACCTATTTATGACCGTGAAATGATCAATGCCCAGTAGATTCAATGTCTGGTGTAGGTCATGTAAGGCAAAATTTATAGAAACTATGCTGCACTACAGTGTAACTCATTGCAAGGTAAAACTGTGATAAGATATTATTGAATGAATTGCAAATATTATCCTCAATGGAAACTTCTTACGGAGTACTTTTCCGAATAATCATAGAATGACCTCAGCACTAGAGTTTGTTGCATCAAAAATTGATTAAATCCGTCAAAAACGAGTAGAGTTACAGAGGTTTGTCGCACACTTTAGGCACGTTTTACGTCCACTCGCCCTGACGAATGCTCTGGAAGCTATACAGGAGGGTTACGTAAGCACGTGTCGTCACCCTGAGGACACGTGATCAATGCGGTCGCTCTCTCCTGTTGTGATTTGAGATGCAGGTGTGGCTTACTGTGTAATGTGAAGTGTGAGCCGGCATGCGGTAGCGTTTCGTGACAAGAGGCACAGCTGATATTCTCGCCCCACTTGATTTATGTCGGCTCTTGGCCAGTATAGCATGTTGCCTGATGTTTGGCGTTAAAACACAAGCTTCGGCAGCTCACTAAAGAACGAGCGCACGGCTCTGTGTGAATGGAGGGCACGTGAGAGAATTGCAGCTTTGCATGCCACTTATAAAGAGTTGCCATACACGACTGCAAGATTTGACTGAAATGTTTATTACAGTGTCGGCTATCCACAGGATGTGTTTTTTCACAAATTTGAGGGATGGTCCATGAGCACTTTAAGCGTCCGTAAGGTGTTTGAGGGTGAAAAAAGAGAGTAAATAGAGAGGCAGTGCAATATAGGTCGGCCATGGTTGTACGGTTCATATGTTAACTCCGTGCTTGCTGCAATTTGGGAATGGGTGTTATTAATACATATATGGTGAGCTTTGACTGACTTAGCATCCAAGTTTAACTGCTCAATCTAATCCGAAGTATGATAAAGCATTTATTTGTTTCTCTGCAGGGTTGTCTATAGTATGTGTTTATGGACATGCACTTTTTAGTACACTGAGCAAGATCGAATATATTTTATGCAAGAGCTGTGGTTTGTGAATCGCTCCGTGCTCCACACGTATCACTGTGGCAGAAGTCTCCTGGGCAAGGGCGGCATAGTAAATAGAAAATTTTGTTCTGTTAATGCATTATCCATCAAATTGAGTGCAAAATTGTATAGGCTATAAAGATTACTACTGGTCTAAAATTGTAATGAGAGGCTACGTTGTCAGGGTAAGCGAGAATTCAAATTTTTTTTGCAAATCACATGTCTTGGGCTCCTTTGTCGCTAACGGTACCTATCTCATCGGTCGAACTTTATGTACTTAGAAGTTGTCATGGACTCGAAAAACATTCAGAGGTACTGAGGTGACATTTTTTACTTATAATTATTTTGCATAAGGGAGACACACTTAACCTCAAGAATGTATAAAAAAAATAAGACCAATTCTCAAAGTGTCCTAAGTGATTTGCTATTAATAGCTTTTTTATAAACTTGTCTCATTAATGAGATGTTTTCAGGAGGCGTATATGTCATGGCAAAAAAGGTGGTCACAGGGGATGAAAGCATTCCGAAAATCTTGCCCTCGGTCAAGTTTGCTCACTTCTCCGCTATGCTTCTAGGTGAAACCACTCTCATTACAATGCTTAAAAGCTATGCAAAAGCTCAGTGAAAGGAAACTATCAACTGTAGGTGTAGCATTATGTGGTGCTCAGCTTAGTGTGCATTGTTGTTTGACTGTGATTAACCATGACGTGCACATGTGTATATGCTTATGCTTATCGTCTTACAATTTCATACGTAAACCTTCTTCATCTTCCTTTTTTTTTCTAACTTGCGCCCTGTGTCGCATTTTAACGGCGCTTCCCCTTGTGGGTGTTGGGTCCTGCTCGATTATGAAAGAGTTGTCTGGCTTCGCATCGAATTTTTTTACTGGTTTACTAGTACGAACTACCACGCTAGAAGTTGTTTGTGGTTGGGTAACATTCATTCATTGTCCTGTGGTTTGGTGACTCGGCTTTTTTTTTTTGTTGCTTGTTCTCATTTCTCTGCAGCAGCTACAAGTGCGGGCACGTGGTGGCCGTACTGCTGCACCTGCACACGCAACAATTGCTGGCCCAGCCTTCAGTGCAGTGCCAAGGGCCACGCGTGTCAGTGAAGAAGGAAAAACAGAACAAGAAAAATGAGTCTAAGGAAAAATTGGATCTTCCTTGCATTGACAAGGTGTGTATTTTTTATAATCCCACAGATGGTTCAAGCATGACGCTATTATAGACAATTGAAAAACCATTTTGTAACACTTTGTTTGCGCTGAACTCTGAGCATACTCTCACGTGGCTCCAAGCTTTCTGCAAACGCTGCTTCGGGCAAACTTGCTTATGGTACCAGTGTGATTGACACTTCTCAGCTGTAGCATGGGACAACGCGTTTGAAAGTGGACTGCAGTGAAATACTGGAGCTTGGCTCAGAACTACTACTACATTTCCTTGTGATGTATGATGCTGTCACGAATTCGTCAGTTTTCTCTTTTGCAGTTTCTTTGTTTCAAGTTAGAGACCAGGCGAGTAATATTGCCACTAAATCAGTTTTGTCACGTGCGTCACGGTGGTGCTCCCGTGGGAACGGTTTTGTCACGTGCATCGTATTGCCCCTGCTGTGGGAGCAGTGTTGGTCAGTTATGTCACAGTCTTGTCAAGTGCTGTTGCAGGATTCTCGGGGCGGGACTGGCTGCCTTCTTGTATGCCTAGTCTATCGACAAATTGAAACAGTACTGGAGTTCAGCGGAAGATGCCAGCCGGGAGTATTGAGGAATCGTTGAACATGAAGATTATCGTTATGGTTCAGCGTCCAAAAACCATGATACGATTCTGGGAGAAGGTGTACTGGAGGGCTCCAAGTATTTCGGCCACCTGTGGCTCTACAATACGCTCCTAAATCAAAGTTAAGGGGCCGCAAGCATTTTCAATGCTATCAAAAATGGGGCCGTTGTCAGAATTTGATCCTGTGACCTTTCAGTCAGAAGTTGAGTGCCATAACCACTAATTAGACCAAGTGGCGGGTCGTTGAACAATGAATTTGGGAGTGTTAACAGAAGGCAGGAGCGTAGTGGGAAAGGCAATGTGTCAAGGACAGTCACATATACTAGCACCAGAGAATGTGGGGGGCTATGCTCAGCTGAGCTCTTTTAAGATTGCTTCTGAGCCCAGCGATGTGTCTTTATACGTATTTTCACTCTGTAACATTGTAAGGTTGTTGCAGATTATACTTGTATGGGAAAGGTACCAGTCAAAAAGGGCTCACTGTTTGATCGATGAAGCAGTGCCCGCTTTGTCTGTTCCCGAATTTGTGTTTCTACAGTTGTTTTTTCCGAACTACACGGATATAGCCAGACTTCCTGCTCCAAAACAAGGACAGTGAATATCAGCTGATGAAGTTTTTTGTCTCGTGTCAAACGAAATCAATGTGTATCTATATTTCTAATTCGTTACACTCACTTTCGGAAACATTGACTTTGGAGCACCACATCGCCAAAATATGAAGGGTTTGATGCCTTGTCTATCATCACATTGCACTGGTGTTCGTTGCTCCTATGCCTTTATCTAATGTCAAAGTGCTATGCGTCTTTATCTGTTGCCACATTATTTTGTGTGACAATGCAGACCTAAATGATTGACAGAAGTAGGAAAGGTGGCACTGCTTTTGTGTAATGCAATGAGGCAATTATAATTAGTTGTCTTCATTGGTGTGGTAATGAACATTGCCATTTGGCCATAGAAACGTTGCACGTAGGTGCTTGTTTATACAAATTCAGGTTTTGTTCTTGTCGATAGGCCAAGTTATACAGTTCCAAACAGCCAAGGGGAAGTGACCTTATGGAAAGTGGGTGACTCATTGAAGTTACACGTGATGCAAGCACAAATTGACACGCTAGGCACATATGTGTTGGGATGGCTTGTCAGTTATCAGAATTAGATTCTATGGGCTGGTCATGATGTAGGTGTCGAAATTCATGCCTCAGACATGGTTCTACTTGGTTAACAGATGCCACTCTTGAATGCTGTAACCTTCTGAATTTCATGTGCCAAAAATTATTCGAGCTCCGCCGCGGTAGTCTAGTGGCTAAGGCACTCGGCTGCTGACCCGCAGGTCGCGGGATTGAATCCCGGCTGCGGCGGCTGCATTTCCGATAGAGGTGGAAATGCTGTAGGCCTGCGTGCTCAGTTTGGGTGCACGTTTAAGTACCCCAGGTGGTAGAAATTTTCGAAGCCTTCCACTACGGTGTCTCATAATCATATGGTGGTTTTGGGACGTTAAGCCCCACATATCAATCGTCAATCAATCAAACATTATTCGAGAGCTGGCAACTCACTGTAGATGCCATGGTTTAGGCACCACATTTTAGAAGAAATAATGTATTTGAAAAAAACCTCCACAGGAGTGCATACTTCTTGCAGCAGCTCTTTGTTTTTGAAATTAGCAGAAAAAGCAAAAACTTCAATGCTTAAAAAGACTTCAACTTAGTTCTATGAGAGTGGACCATCATTCTACTCTCCCAATTTGTGAGGCACGCTACGGGCATCGCTTCCACTCCTCATTGCTCTGGAGACATTTCTAGATATTGCTAAAATTGAAAAAGTTATGCTCCCGAAAATTCACACTCTTCTGAAAGTGCTTGCTTCAAGTATAGAGTTTTGTTTCTTAGTGAAATTGTTTGCCAACCCTGTAGTACTAAAATGGTAAGGAACTGCGAGTTTGACGCAACACAAGTAGAAGTAGTACACAAGATTAGCGCAGACTGACAACTGAATCTATTGGAGCATGAAACTTCCACCCCTGAAAACATACATGTGCACAAGCTCTCCTGACCATATCACACACCATAGTAAAGGCTCTTGACCTATGTTAAAAATGCTGACTCTTTCCTATGCAGATAAGTGGAAGGTTCGCTAATGCATTTATCGAGTCCTACCCTCGAGATAAGGGACGGTTTTAATGCCGTACCAACTAGCCACCCAATGCACCTTCCCCTGTAATATTGCATACCGCTGTAATCATCACGACTCTACCATTGACCAGCCATGTTTTTCCAGCACCTTTGAAGGACCAATGTCTTTTCATATTGTTACGTGATTTCGTCTGACTGAAAGAGGGCATAGTGGGGCATACCCAAGTAAGGTGCCGCAGACTGAGAGTGAAGAAGTGGACGTGAGCTGCCTTGTGGCTGAGGTGAGCTGCGTTGTGGCTGCGGACTGACAACTGTTATTTTCCACGTAACATTTTGGTGGAGGTGCTGTGTAGGCGCTGAAACTGCTGCAAAATGCGTCGACTCTTCGCCTGCTCGAGATGGCGGCACTCTTTGATCACGGCGTCGATGGTCGTTACGTTGGTAAATACAAGCAGGCTGAACGCATCGTCGGCGATTCCTTTTAAAACGGCCGGCCTTCAGCTGAATTCATCCAAGTGCCGGTTTTGTCGCCGTCGCATTACAATACTTGGACATATTGTTGATGCTTACGGCGTACAGCCTGACCCAGAAAAAGTTCGAGCTGTGAAGGACTTTCCTGTGCCGAAACCCGCCAAAGATGTCCGCAGCTTTGTGGGGCTCTGCTCCTATTTTCGGCGGTTCATCAAGAACTTCGCGGAAATCGCTCGGCCCCTAACAGATTTACTCAAACCAGATGAGACGTTTACCTGGGATCCCTCGCAAGCAGCAGCATTTTCCGACCTGACCACTTTGCTCACTTCTTCTCCTGTGCTGGCTCACTTCGACCCTACGGCACCGACCGAAGTGCGCACCGATGCCAGCGGTTACGGAATAGGCGCTGTGTTGGCTCAGCGACAACGTGGGCAGCATCGCGTGATAGCTTATGCCAGCAGGCTACTGTCCACCTCGGAGCGTAATTATTCCATCACAGAGCGCGAATGCCTAGCGCTGGTGTGGGCAGTCGCGAAATTTCGCCCTTACTTATACGGCCGACCATTTATAGTTCTTACCGACCACCACGCTCTCTTCTGGCTCGCCTCCCTCAAAGATCCCACAGGTCGTCTCGCCCGCTGGGCACTCCGCCTCCAGGAGTATTCTTACACCGTAGTGTACAAATCAGGAAAACTGCACAAAGATGTGGATTGTCTGTCACGCTACCCTGTGGTCGACTGCGATCCTACGAGCACTGATTCTGTGGGCTGCGTCCTTTCCATCTCCCAGCTGCTTCATCTCGGGGACGAGCAGCGTCGCGATCCGGATATCAGCCGCCTAATACAACAGCTCGAATCTTCACCGCAAGACGCTTCTGTTCGCATGTTTACCTTAAAGGACCACACCTTATATCGGCGTAATTTATCGCCCAATGGTCACGACCTACTTCTGGTCATACCAAAGCACCTGCGTTCCACAGTCCTACGCGAGCTCCATGACGCGCCAACTGCGGGTCACCTTGGTGTCTCTCGCACATATGACCATGTGCGCCGCCGCTTCTACTGGCCTGGCCTTTCACGCTCTGTACGTCGCTATGTCAACGCTTGTGAAATTTGCCAGCGTCGCAAAAAGCCGTCGGGACTACTTTCCGGATATCTTCAGCCCATCGACATCCCATCGGAGCCATTCTTCCGTGTTGGTTTGGACCTTCTCGGTCCCTTCCCAACATCTGCCTCCGGAAACAAGTGGGTCGCGGTGGCTACGGATTACGCGACCCGTCATGCAGTTACGCGAGCCATGCCAACAAGCTGCGCTACAGACGTCGCTGATTTTCTACTACGCGATCTCATTTTAGCGCATGGAGCCCCTCGTCAACTGCTGACAGACCGAGGCCGTACGTTCCTTTCGAAAGTGGTTGACGATATCCTGCGTTCCTGCTCTACCCAACATAAGCTCACGACATCGTACCACCCCCAGACAAACGGGCTTACAGAACGTTTAAACCGCACCCTGACAGACATGCTATCGAAATACGTCTCGGCCGACCATCGTGATTGGGACCTTGCACTACCCTACGTGACGTTCGCATCAAATTCCTCCCGGCATGACACTGCCGGGTACTCGCCATTTTACCTTCTGTTTGGACGCGAACCAGCATTGCCGTTGGATACCTTCCTGCCAGCCGCTGCGCAGTCTACTTCTGAATATGCACACGACGCTATTACCCGAGCTGACCACGCTCGTCAGCTTGCCCGCAGCAGATTAATGGCGTCCCAAGACTCGCAGAAGCATCGTTACGACGAGCGGC